TTGTTCTACTTCCCTTTTGTATATTTCTTTTCTTTCCATGGGTTTACTTATTGACTTGCAGTCACCCATATTGAATTTGTGTAGGATCCTTTCAAGATAGTTTTTTGTTTCAATAAAATTTTGTCAGTTTTGATGTGTATTTCAATTCCTAGAAAATGCTCAAGTGTTCCTTCTACTATTTCAAATTCTGACATCAATTCCTCTAGAACAGCGATTCCCAACCTGTGGTACGCGTACCCCTAGGGGTATGCGATAGTTTGTTTGGGGGTACAGAAAAAAGTTAGTTATTATGGCAGAAAAAATAATATATTATGTATCACAAACTAATAGTATTAAAAAATTATTAGGTAAAAATGTTCCTTGCAACAATCACAACTTTATTATGTATTTTTTCATTTAGTTTTTTTCTTTAATTTAAAGTTACAATATATAAAATTAACAATACGGGTACTCACTAAATTTCTTAAATGAGGGGTACAATCTAGAGATATGACATGTCACGGGGTACACTAATGAAAAAAGGTTGGGAACCACTGCTCTAGAAGATTCTGTACTTCTTCTGCATCTTTACCTGCAATTAATCTGTCATCCACATACAGTACTAACATGGTTAGATCTTTTTCTGTTCTTTTGATATACAAACAGTGGTCTGTTTGACTTAACCTATATCCTTTTTTAATTAGAAAGGTTCATTCATTCCAACATCAAGGTGCTTGTTTTAGACAATATAAACTCTTGTTTAGAGTGCAAACTCTCCCAGTTCCATCATCAAAGCCTTCTGGTTGACTCATATAAATCTCTTTCTTCAGATCTCCATGCAAGAAGGCTGTTTTCACATCAAACTGCTTTAACAGGAGTCCCTGATTTATTGCTATTGAGAGTACAGTTCTGATTGTCTCAAACCTTGCCACTGGTGAGAATGTTTCCTTATAGTCTATACCTTGTTTCTATGTATATTCCTTGGACACTAGTGGAGCTTTATATCTCTCAGTTGAACCATCTGGTTTTCTTTTAATTTTAAAAATCCACTTACTATCAATAGTTTTCCTGTCATTTGGTAGCCACTAATTCCCAGGTCTTGTTCTTTATTAGAGCACAGAATCCTTCTTTCATTGCTGCTAACAATGGTGTCTTTCATTTGATTGTACTGCTTCAAACACAGTGAGTGGTTCTGCAATCTCAGCTATGTTTGCACTTGGCAGCTCATGTACTTGAAACAGTTTATACTCTAAGTTTCTCTATTTCTCAATTTTGCTTTGTAGTCTTCCTTGTCATTTGTTGTATTTTCTTTTTCTGGTTGCATTTACACTTGTAATTCAGTTTCTTCACTAGTATAACAAGAGTGATTATTTATTTCACTTTTATCCACATCCATTTTCAGTTGTGTTGTTGCTGTTAGTTCCTTGTCAAAGACAACATCTCTGAAGATTCCAACCGTTCCTCCAACTAAATCTCTGTATCCTTCTATATTTTGATCATATCCTACAAAGATCACTTCCTTGCACTTTGGGTCTAATTTTTGTCTTCTAGCTTCAGGAACATGTATGAAAAATCTGGAGCCAAACACACACAAATAATCAATATGGATTCTCTTTCTTGTTAATATTTCAATTGGGGTTATGTCTGTGACATTGCTTTTTCCTGTCAAATTGATGACATGAACTGCTGTATGTATTGCTTCAGCCCACAAGTTTTTGTCAAGTCCTATTGCATAAAGCATGGATCTTGCTAGCTCAACTACTATTCTATTATCTCTTTCTATTTTCCCATTTTGTTCAGGAGAATATCCTATTGTTGTCTGATAACAGATGCCTTACACTCCAAGTAATTGGACAATTTTTGATTCACAAACTCACATCCTCTATCAGTACAAATAGCTTTCACTGTTTTTCCTGTTTGATTCTCTATATATGCTATGAAGTTCTTTACTTGGTCAGATGCTTCTTCTTTTGCTTTTAGTGTTTTTACAGCTCAAAAATTTGCAAAATCATCTCTGAACAGGATGTAGTATTTGGAGCCACCTATAGAACTAATTTCCATTGGTCCTCCAATATCCACATGAATCAATTCTCCTATTTCTTGAGTGCTAGTTTTACTTTTGCTAAAAGGCAACTATGAGTTTTTCCCATCATGCAGCCTTTACATGGTGCATTCAAGTTATAACACCTCCGATTTTTTTCTCACAAACTAATCAAATGAAAACTGTGAAATTTGTGTCACTTCTCAACATAATCTCCCTGCAGCTGTACACATTTTTCACAATGTCGATGCCATAATTCCATGGCCACTGTGAATGCTTCTTTAGGAGTCTGGTTTGACCACTGGAAAATCGCTGATGCAATAGCAGCATGGCTAGTGAATGTGCGACCACGTCTTCATGCAGGATTGTGTGCACAGATCCCATGGAAATGCCAACTTTGGAGGCGATGTGTTCCAAACTCATTCAGCGATCCTCCAAAACAACTTTCTCCATTCGCTTGATCATGTCGTCAGACTGGCTGGTGCGAGGCTGAGATTGTCTTGGTTTGTTGTCATACGACATTCTATCTTCTTTGAACTGTCACACCCATAAATGCACATTAGACACATCCATGACACCATCACCACATGTCTCACTCAACTGGCGATGGATTTCAATTGGTGTCACACCACTTGAATGGAAAAAATGAATGATTCTTGTAATGAAAACATTGCCATTTTAAGTATCAAAAACAGTCCTCACTCTCACCATTGCCGCTAGAGTTCTGTGTGCCATACGGTGCTGCCATCTCTGTCACGCATTCACAACAAGTGCACACTTATTTTAAAACAATCTGTTTCCAGTCCTGAGAAAAAAAAAATCATAGGTGTTATAACTTGAATGCACCTCGTACAGATATCATCTTCACATTTATTAGTCACCTGAATTTCCATTTGCTTTAATACATCTTTTACATGTCATTTATTCTGATGTGCCAGTCTTTCATGCCACAGTTGCAAGGGGTCAATGGCATTCACTACATGTACTTCTTCCTCTTGGGTTACTACTGTCATAAGCATGTGGTACAGTCTTCCAACTTTTAAACCTTTAGCCACAATTTGTCTGTTTCTTTTTAGAAGACATTTTTCATTATCAGACTCATAAGTGAATCCTTTCTCAACTAATGTTGTGATAGAGAGTAAATTTCTTCCACATTTGAGTACGTGAAGAACTCTTGTTAGCTCTGCACATCTGCTGAGAGAAAATTTCACAGCTATGGAATCTTCTCCAATAGCCAGCATTTCAGAATCATTTCCCACTTTTATCACTATAGGAGAGGTGTATTGTTTGTATTCTTTGAACCATTCTTTCCTGCTTGTCATATGATAAGTAGTTGCACTATCAGCAATCCATATATCTAGTTTGGATTGCATTTGATTTCTTCCAGTGACCAATGCTTCAGTTTCTTCTTGGTTTACTACACTAACGTTAACTCCTTTTTCCTTTTTGCACTTTTTGGCAATGTGTCCTTTCATTCCACAGATTCTGCAGATAGTACAACATTGATTTTGTTTGTGTCCTGGCTTATTGCATCCAAAACAAACTATACCAGTTGTTGTTTTTCTTCCTCCGTTCCCTTTTCAGTTTTTCCAGTTTCCCTTTTTACTGTATCTGCTGTTACATTGTAGAGCCTCAGCCTGTCCATTGTCTTTCTCAATCTCTCCCTGTTTAAGCCTGGACTCTTCCAGTTTTAATCTTGCCATCAGAGTCTCAAGATTTCTTCTGTTCTCATCCATAGATTCCCATGCTGTCACAAAGTGTTTATGTTCTGGGGGGAAGGACTGTGATTATTTTGCATACCACTGAATCTTCTGTTTTGTCAAGATTCTCAGTTTTTCTCTTATTCCTTCTAATCTAGAAAACATAGATGTTATAGATTCTCCATCTTCACATTTAAACAAGTGATATTCCTTTAGTGCAATTTCCTTTGACAGATATGACTTTTTCTCATACATAAGTAGTTTGTTCCACATTTCATTTGATGTCTTACAATTTCTTATTGCTGAAAGTGCTCTCCTGTTACTGTACTGCCTATCACCAATTTGGCAGGTTTTTTTTGCTCTGGACCATATCAACAACTTTTTCTCATATTTTTCTTTCTCTATTGTACTAACATTGTTGCCAGGGTGTTCTGGCTTTTTATGTATTCCAGTTACAACTTCCCAGCAGTCCTTGCTGTCTAGTAATATTTTAACTTGAAACTTCCAGTTTTTCCAATTATTTTTCATAAATTTTTCTATACTTATATTCACTGTTTCCATCTCCAAGTATTTAGCAATTAATTTTAAATGAGCTAGAGAAACAAAGGAGCTGACTTACACATGGTAATGGAGGCATTTTGTTGAGTCTAGTCTGGCACATCAAAATGGTGACTCAGTTGTTCTTGACGAATCTGATGACTTCTGTGTCAAATCTTTAGTCACAACCACACTCTGCTACCATGTTAATGTTTTGCTGTGTTTCTTATAAATAAAGACACTTTCAGTTTTAATCCAACAACATTTACTTGTAAGTTATTAAAACAAAAGAATACACTGAGACTTGGCTCTGTTTAATGTACACCTCTAGCCTCTTAACTCTTGTGCCAATTGACCGCAGTGCCCCCTTACATTCTCTCTGGTTTTTTATTTACTAAATTAAATTCTCCCAACAGAATTTTATTCTACACGTATTTCGAATTATCCAAACTAAAATACATGCAAAATCCTATTCTCTTAGCTGGAGGATTAGAGTTGACATTGAATTACGTGATACTTCAAATTATCCAATATTGAAATAAATGAGATTTTATTGTACTCTATAATGATATGATCTTGATGTTTAGCACAGAATTATTATTTAAAAACTGAAATATCGTCTAATTATGTAATTTATTTATTTGCATTAAAACTATAAATGACAACATATCTAATGATAAATAAATAACTAATTTTGTAAATGTAAAAAAAGTTTTAAATTAAATTTTATTATTATTAAATACCATTATCATCCCATTGATTTTCATCTTCCATTTCAACATCTTTTTCCTCAGGAATCTATTAATTAAAAAATTTCTGTTTTCATAAAAAATGATATATTTGAATGCATATTAAATACTGAAGGCAATGTAAATTTTTCAGATTTAAAAATATGCAAAAAAGTAAATTTTGGAAATTTAAAATGCAATGCAGTTGAGAAAACATTTCTGCAAAACTTTCAGGAGTAAAAGAACACAAAATTAAATCATAAAAATAAAACTAATTCTAAAATAATCATAAAATTAAAATAAAGAAATTTAACTTTCAAAATGAATATATTTCAGATTTATTATTATTTTTTAATTTCTAAATATATTTGAGACTTAAGCTATAAACTAATGGTAAGGTGTTATTCATTTTAATAAACAATTAACAACATTTAGAAAATAAATCAATAATAAAATTGCATGGTGAAATTTATAAATAAAAAAATATTAATTGCAATGTTTTTTTTAAATTAATGAAAATGAACTAGTATATCAATTTGTCATTTTATGGTGAGTTATAAGAAAATTTTGTATTATTAATTAATATTGATAATATACATATGTTAAATAATACGAGTTAAATTCTTTCTGGAGCACATTAAATGAATACACTTAGCAAATCTGCAATATGGCCTTCAGAGTTCCTTCTGAAATAAGGTGTGGTCTTCTGATTATAAAGGTTTCCCACTTCTGCTCTAACATAAGACCCTTATCACAGATGATACACCTATTAGTTTCCAATATGTTTTAAATACGATCATTTTACAAATATTGCAATCAAATATTTAATTGTAATAAATAAATAAATAATTTTTAAGACTTAACATAAATTTAAATTATTTATTATTATTATTATTATTTGAAAATAATTAACTGAATGAAGAAAACTGTGAATAATTTATAGAATGTAAACAATAGATAATTAAAAGACAAGAGTATGGAAACTATTAAAATGCAATAATAATATTCAAATAATTTCATTCCAAATAATTCATTAATGGATCATTTAGTATATTTTTTGTTATGTTTCTTACACCTGATCTTCCATGTTTAGCAGTAGTCATCAAATAATTAAGCCAGTCACATGTTACATCAGAACATTTTTCAATTACTTTTTGTTAATGATAGTGATTAACAAGTTATTTTAATATTGTTTGAACTAATGAACTAAAGTACTGAATATTAGCTGAATTTTGTTAATTTTATAGTTTTATAAAAATATGTGCAATTGTTACACAATAAATAATTAGAAAAAAATAAAGTTAAAATATTTAAATTATGAAAAAAATAATAGTATTATCATTAATAACTTACCAGAATAATAATAATAACAGATTTAGAAGTGATTTTTTTTCATACAACATAAGATATTATTTGTAAATTTTCATCGGATGGAGATTATTTTTAAATAAAGTTGAAGAGTCTGCCCAAAAGGGACCACCATTTATTATTTCTGTGTTCCAGACAATACACATTCTTGGCAACACATTCTTTTGGGCAGACTCTTCAATTTTATATAAGATATTATATAATAATTATAATTATATATAATAATATAATCATTTTCAATTGTATTAAAAACAACTTAATAACCTACATTAATGCCTTACCATTAATTACAGCTAAATATCTCAAGTCAATATACTTTCAATCATATTTTAAAGCTAGTCAAACGTTATTTAACTTATTTTTCTCAACAAATCAAGAGAAGAAGCTTCACATAGCACATGATTTTTTTAATGTGTGGTTTTTTCATAAAGATATTTTTCAACCCTACCTGCTTCTTCCGTTCAAATTTCCAAAATTTCTCTCGATTTTTTGTTTCATTCCAATAAATATATTCAACTTCAATCACTTCTGGTACTTTTAAATAATTTTTTGGGAATTTTGGTACATGTGAAAAATCTGAAAAACAAATAATCTAATAAAACAGAAATTTTCCTGATTAAACAAAAATAAATAAATAAATCTTAGAAAACAAACACAAATAAATAAACATAAAGTAAACAAATAATCATACAGGCTTTTGCACAAAATTCTGCAACGGGAGGGAGTCGGGCTGGTTTTTTTTGTTTCTTTTTATTCTTAGGTTTCTTTTGTTGCAACTTCTTTGACATTCTTATTGTTTTCCCTTTACCAATGACTAATTGTTGCTTATCCTCATGAGGATCTTCTTTTTTCCATGAATCAATTTTCTTATAAAATATATGAAATATGTTAATTAAACAATATCTAAATACTTAACACTTGATGAAAGGAAAACTAGAAATCACTGATAGTTTATCTAAAGAAAACTTACTGTTTTTGCAGCTGCATCAGATAATAATTTTTGTACTCTAGCAGATCTCCTAAGAGATTTTGGAGTTTCTTTTGAAACAGGATTAGAACTTTTATTTATAGTCTGGTTTTGAACTTCATCATTGTTCTGATTGTGATGATCTTCAGCAATGTCATCATTTGCTAAAGTAAAAACACAAACTTTAAATTATATTAATAGTATATATAAATTAAAATATTTAAAGAATTCTTTGTTTTTGCATTGTATTATTCACATAAAATTTCAAACTTTGTAATGACGTCTGTATAGATATGAGTCACTTCACAATAGAGGTCCCATAAGATTATAATATAGGTACACCTCGCCTTACGTTGGTAACTGGTTCCAGGAGAGGCGAGGTAAGTCAAATTTACTTGTCTCTAAATCTACTTGTTACTAGGCTAAACCGTAAATTACCATTCCCAGTTCTGTATTTTATTTATTAATGCATTTTTAATAATATATGTTAATAAGGATCTATTTTAAGCTTACAAACAAATAAATTTTAGTTTTTAATATAGTACAGAAAAAAGTAATCTAAATTTACGAATACATGTACTGTAAATACAGTACATACTTGTAAATGTATATATTTTAATATGATTTTATGTGCTTTAAATGTTTTTCTAGTGATCTTACGACTTCAATATTTATGGCGGACAGACATAAAGTCAAATAAAATGACTTAAACTTGATTTTTATTTTTCCATATACTTTTTTGACAAATGATGTATAATCAGGAACAACGTAACGCGAAACAACGTAAGTTGAGGTATACCTGTAAAGCTAAAAAATTTGTAGCAGCCTGTACCTTTTCTTTGTTTTTATACATAAATATTTGTCATTGTGTTACATATAGCTGAGATGAATGGTATCAGACTATACTGTAACAGTTTGTCTAAATATACTCTATGTTGTTTGTTTAAAGACCCATATTCCTCAGAGCATATCCTGCCATTAAGCAGTAAATAATTATATTTTACATAATTTAGCTTATTTTAAAAGATATAATTTAAATGAATAAATGAATATAATAGTTAATATTAAAGTTCTTTAAGTAAAAATTGAGAGATATCCTTTCATGTAATTGAAGAATATTTACATTTGAAAATTTGGAAATTACCATTATCTGAGTTAATTCATTCCTTATGACAAATGATTTTAATTCAAGAAACAATGATATGTTATTATAGTATAAAAATAAATGACCTGTGAAAAATATACTGTACCCTACAATTTAAATAAAAATTTTTATTCAAGGCAGCTGCCTAACATGATTTTTAGCATCTCTTTTCTGCCAATTTTTATTTCTTTTTAGCACTCTTCACTCCCCCATTTTTAAACCATTTTTAGCATCCTAACAACCTATTCTGAATAAACAAATTGCATAAATAAGTACAGTAAGACCCCACTTAACACAGGGGATGCATTCCTAGACAACAAAGCACTAAACAAAACAGTGCTAAATGAGGTCATTTTAACAGAGTAAATAGGGAAAGGGGAGCACGCAACCAAAAATAAATAGATTTTACTTTAATTTTAAGTTATTTTTATATTAATTTGCATAATAATATATGTTAAATAACACACAAACATATGCACATAGAAATGTAAAGTTCATTTTTTGTGATGAAGGTCCTGGCTTTTCTGAATTCTTGTTTTTTGAAGTTGTGTAGTTTCATTTGTTGCTTTTTTTTCTTTACTTAAGCAAATGTCAGTAGAAGAAGATCGCATCCAAAATGCCTCATTTTGCATTTGCACTCCTTTCAAAATCTGGACCATTCACTACAATATGATCAACAATTTCGGTTATCATTACCAAACTTTTATTAAGGAAATCTATAGCAAGTTCTTTGGGTTCTTCATTTTCAGAATCACTATTTTCCAGTTCTACATGAATTCCTTGTTCTTCCAGTTCTTGAAGGTCGTTGTTGGTAAGGCTCTCACCAGAAACCTGCAGTAAATCCTCAATATCCTGCTCGTCTACATCTCCTAGTCCTGCTGTATCAATTAGGTTGACAATTTAGTCAACCTAACGATACAGTGGTAGGATCTTCTCACTGAGAATTCTCAAATACCTTCACCCATAACTTCTTCCACACTCCGTTCATGCATTTATCAGTTAATTCTTGCCAAGTGAAGTCAATATTTCCTATAGCATCCATGATGTTATATTTTTTTCAAAATTGCACAAAACAAGCATAGATTTAAGGGAAGTACAGCACTGACGAATTGTCTTAAAACTTTTAAAGCTTAAAACCTTTCGCTGATTGGTTCGTGTCCATAAATAATTGTTTTCTATACGAATCAATGAAATGCTGCAATAATTTGAATCAGCATAAATTTTGAGCTTTCTTTTAGGCCTTGAGCAGACCACGTTATATTGAATCAGCATTAAGCAAGGTCTTACTATGCATACCTGAGTTCATGTTAAAACTTTTTACTACTAAAAAAACTTTTATTACTATTATTAAAAATTATTATTAATAAGTAGTAATAATTTTGTAGTATTATTAATTTTTTCATTTTTGGCTCTTTCCACCCTATTAGCACTAAGAGAACCTTTTTCTCTTATCCATCATAGGTCATTAGTTACACTAGGCTCATAATGGGTTGTGACCAATTGGTGACAGAGACATCCTGACCCTGACTATTATCAAAAAATCCCCATGAAAAATTCTTGGGGCTTTTCAACCCACCAGATTCAATTGATGCATCTTAACTGCCTTGGTCATTTGGCCATTATTAGATGATTATTAGTTTATGCAGTGATATCAGAGTTCTTAGTTTTACTCATTAATTTTTTCTGTAATAGTTTTTAAATGAGTGTGATAAATTAAATATATTATATTTACAAAATAATTCTACAGAAATAAGCACCTAAACTCCATCATTATTAGATTTTCTTTCTATTTATATTAACATATAATATAATTTGAAAGCATATTATTTATTAATGATGAAAAAAAAAACAGTATGATAATATATATAAAATTTTATTAGAATACAAAAATTCTTACATATTCATCTAATTTCAAAAAATTTTAGAAAATAAAAATGATTGTAACTTTCCAATTTATTATAATCAAGAAAAATGGTTTTATCATATAAATGAAGTATAAATAATATCAAGCGAACAACTGGATTCCTTTATCAGGCTATTATGGCTAAATAATATGCAATTTGGCAATCTTGTTAAATATAATAATTATTAATTACTGTATTTAATCTCATATAAGACAATCTTGATTATATAGGACAAGGTGTGACTTTAAAGATCAAAATAAAAAAATTAGATTTATTAATACAATTCTAATTTTATTCTGTTTAATCACAAATAAAATATCAAATAAACGTAAATTCACACATTGTCCCACAAAAATTACTGGCATTTTAAACTTTAAGGAAAAATCTTGTAAAACCGACAACATAATTTGTTCATGTAAAACTGGACAATCGAAAACCTTTTTGCCAATTCTTAACAGTCTAATCCACTCTCTGGCGATTACATTTATGAGTTTCTTCAAATTCTGATTTCTGAATAATCATGTTTTCGTATGGGAATGGATTAAAACTTATATTGAGCTCCTGTGTGATTTTGGAATTTCAATTCAGAATTCAATTCAAAAGCTTTGCCTTTCCTATTGCTATTTATCTTTACTACTGACAATACACAAGAACGAACAAACAACTCAGATAAAATAGTTTTGTTTTTAAACACCAGAGGGTGAGCCACCCAGTAAAAATTGCAAATAGACAATTCACAAAAATTATTGAAAAAATGCAAAGAATCTTTCGTTCATGCATATAGGATGACCTAGCATTTAGAACTATATCGTATATTTACAAGCCCTACTGAGGAGGCAAGTAAACTGGCGAAATGCATTTAGGGATAAATGTGATGTAACAAAAAAGTGTTTTTCTCTCTACAAAAACCTGGTTTGGTTTTTTAACCTTTTAAATTCTATTTCATTTTTTAATAAATGGTTTAGAGTTAAGAAATTTTTAGTCCTCTATAAGTCAGAAAAAAAGGAAAATTTAAAATTTTTGTGTACTCTTTGATAGTACAATTAAGTAAGATTGAAAAATTCTGACTACATTGTTTTAAATAATTTATTTTTAAAGTAGGATGACCTAGGTTTTTGAAGCAGTAAAAAATGAATAAAAACTTTGTCTTATATGTAAGTAAACAAATACAGTAATTAATTTTAGATTATTCTGGAAGAAAAGATATAAATAAATAAACAACTAACTCTATGATGATAATAAATAAATAATTCTGAATAATGATATAATGTAAAAAATGTCTCTATATCTCTGAAAATACCACCTCTTTGGCAAAAATTATTATTTTAAAATTTTTACAACTATTCCATTATCTATAACATAGAAAACAATAATTAGAATTCAAAAATTATACAAATTAAGAAACTTTGTAGAAATTTATAGTTAAATTATATAAAATTTAAAAATTGAACTAAGAACGATTAATACACTGTAATTATGAAGGAAAGATTATGATCAAAAACTTCTAATTAAATAATTAACTCTTGTATTTTGTATGACATTTGATTTCCCTTTGAACAAATTTTTTACTTTATGAATCTCACCATGAAAGTAAAAACTTATTATTATTATGAAAAATAATCATATTATGAATCCTATTATTGCACAAGATTTCATTAACTAGAGGACACAAGGTAGAGGAATTCTGCACAAGCAAATCAAAAATTTTAATAATACAGAATCTTAAAAAATTTACATTTAACTTGAATTCATTTTTAAATTTTGTAAAAGAAATTTATCAATTCATAGATAAATCCTTATATGGTACAATGTTTTAAGTATAAAAATGAAAACTATTTAAAATTTATTTTTAATTATACATTATATTTGTCTAATTTGTACTCTCTAAATTTTAAAATTACAAATTATTATAGCATTTATTATAGGCATTAAAATAATCTCACTATGATTAGGAAGTACATCAACATCATTACAATCTTCATCTAATGAAATATCATTGTCATCTTTGCATTCCTCTTCTATTTGATACTCCTTTGTAGAAGGCACAGGTACATCAAATATTTCAAGATTATCAGACATGTGAAATAATAATGTACCAGATTTATCTACATTGCAGATATTAATTCTAAAATCATGCTTGTTACCCAAAATTTCACCTTTGTGACTATAAAATATAAAAATGTATAAATAAATTATAGGTATATTTTCATTAAAAAATAAATTTTGTAAAAAATTTTCAGCTTACTTATACAATATAATGTTTCCCTTCTCTCCTTCTTCAAGAGGAATTAGTGATGTTGGTAAACAAGGTAATAATTGAAGAGTTGATTTTCTTTTATTTGTAATATTTACATTTTCATTCATTTCTAAATATTTCTGTTCTTTAATATCATCTAGAGATAGAAACTAGTAAAAAAAACACAAATGTAATTAAATCTGTTTTCTTAAAATTATCAAGTAAATCATAAATATAAAAAATTTAATAAAATAACAGTTCTTTATGTATTTTCTGCATTTAATAATGTGTTTCATGTTACAAGCTTCATTTTAAACAATTTATATTAAATAAGTTATTCTTTATAGTTATATTAACATTATATATTTAATACACACAAACAAACAAATAAATATAATTTTTATACAAGGTAGAGTCAAAAATTAACTAAACTTTTAATTTTTATGTTGCATATGACTGTGAAAGAAGGGGTTATCAGCTTCTCATAAGTCAAGTCTACACTTGCACACAATAATCACTTTTATTTCCTGTATCCATCACAAGCAGAAGAAATCCAAAAAAAATTATGCATCTGGGAAAGTGAGCAAACACCAAATTTTGTCTGAAACCTTCAATATAAATATTCAATTGCTTTGTGAAGCACATAGCAAGAAAACTGTTATTTGTACAGTCAGGAGTAAATTGAAGATGACTTCCATGCTGAGAATCATGTTATTGCAAGGAAAAGTGAATTATCAGAAAAGTAAAATAAACAATCAGACAAAATTACAGGTAAACTATTAATGACTCAACAAATATTTTGAGAATTTCTCATAGTTTGGTGTATTCAATACTCAATGATGAGTTGAACATACATTGTGTTTGAAAGTATCTTGATCCAAGAATTTAATGAACAAAACAGCATAAAGCTTGTTTCATGATAAATGGATGAGTTAATAGACAAAATTGACCAAGACAAGATCATCACTTAATGAACAGTGATAACAGTATCAAAACATAGTGCTCCCTCTACAACAGCAAACCAAACTCTGTCTTCATATGGAAATCAATCAGTTCATCATAATAAAGAAGTTTAAGGCTGACAAATAAAAAGGAATAGAATATTAATGACTTTTTTGTTGTTTATAGTTTCATACATCACAAATTCATCACTAAAGATCAAACAGTTAATAAGGAAAGGTTCATTGAAATTCTTAGCCATCTGCCTGAAGCTATAAAATGAAGAGCCTAATTAGTGAAAAGAACAGAACTGAGTCCTTCATTATATATAACAAATTAATAACAGTTATTAAAAGTTTTCTTATAATTAAAATTAAGAACTTACATGGTTTTCTTCCGTTTCCACAAATGCACTACCTTCTTTATCATTTTCAGCATTATTTTTTTGTTGTTGACTTTTTCTATAAAATTAATCACATATTAAAATCTTAAAATATAAAAATATATATTATTTCTTCTTAAGACAAAAATTCAATAAAAAGATAACTTTTCTTTCTCAAAAAAATTAATATTGATCTTTTTTGTGTCCTCTGAAATAAAGTTACAGCAAAATTCATATTTAGTTCATTTTAATTCTAAACCTTAAAAATCTTTAAGATTAAAATTCTATTTTTAAAAATAATTTTATTTAACTTATGACAACTTAGAATATTATAATAGTGATTTCTCAAAGAAACTGCTAAAAAATATTGTAATATATGACCTATAAAAACATAATCATAAATATTCTTAAATTGTAACCTGAAAACTTTCCTAAATATGTGTTAAATATTTTTTAATAAGAATTATTGTTTAAACATTTTTATTACAAAATAATTTTTAAAAAATGTACAAAATAACAATAATTGTCACAGAATTGTATCATTAGTATTCATATATATAATTTTATTATAAACAGAATAACATTTCTCATAAAATAAGTATTTTTGCATGAATTAATTTTTTTGTTATTAAATACAACAAATTAAAAATTTTCCAATAGATACTTTTTACTGCAAAACATTAAAACAATTAGCCTTTCAATAGAATTCATACTATGTTGTAAATAATTTTCATAACAAACTTGTCATTAATTTTTTCTGATCAGTCATACAATACAGTTACTTTCTCTTTGATAATAAAAATAAAGCTTTATGTGATAATTACAAGTTTCATATTATGACTGATTTACATTGTTTTAGTGTACAAAATTTCAAATTACTGAACAGCTTCAGATGATATTTATTACTTTGAGTTCAAAAGTAGTATGGATTATGTTCATGTAAGTTATGATATCTTTTGATGTTTGACAGAGAGCCCTATCAACAATATTAATTACTGCAAAATTATAAAACTATATTTTTTTAGATTAATATTAAATAATTTTCTTCTTTTTACAAAATATCATTTACAAAAGACAAAAACAATGTACGTATAAATAAATCACTGGAATAAAACTGTGATAACAACTTTTTAAAATTGATTTTCTACTTTCTCTTTTACTATTTTTATTATTTAAGCATATATTCTTATTATAAAAAAATTCTAAACATAAGTATAATCTTTTATTCTTTTATAGCTACATATTTTTTGGCTATTAATCTGGACTTACATCCATGATTTCTTAATTTGGTGTTTTTCCTTTTAATTTTCTAGTAACTTTAAACTCCAATTTGTACCTTTCAGGTTTATTTACCCTTCTTCAGTTGGAGCATTACATTTGAATAATAATTTTAAAATTTTTTTAAATCAGTTTTCTTCATTAAATAAGATTTTCTTCTTTTTTAAAATTTATTATTCAAATGTAATGCATAATGTAATAAAGTTTTGTAATAATATATACATATTACAATAAATCAGAATATACTATAAATACATATCAGATTAAATATTTGCAAAAATTGATTCTATTAGCAACAACAACAATAATAATAATAATAATAATAAATACAAACCTTTTATTACTTAAAAGCTCAAGCATTTGAAACACAAGGTTATATAAATATTCAACCTAAAATACAGTACATAAATTTTAAAATGAATATACAAACTATTTTTATTTCTATTTATTATTTGTTTAAATAGATATTGTTAATTCATTCAAAAACAAGTTAAATTTTATTTTAAATACAGTATTATATTTTTAAAACAACGATTCAATAGTTATACATGCATATATATATTTATTAAATCAATCTTAAAATGAATATATAAATTTAACTTTTCTTGACATATCAGATTCCAATTGCTTTACACAAAAAAATATTAACAAAAAACTCCTTAATACACAGTCATTATTTTTTGGATACTGAAAAATCCAATTACAGATATCCATAAAATGAAGTTTTAATTAAAAAAATATTAAATAAATTATAAAAATAAAAAAATTGAAATTAATAAAATTTATAAAATCAATGTATAAACCTTATATAATATTAAAATATTTGTAGAATAAAAAATAAATATCAAAACATGCATTAAAAAAATATTGTTGATAAAGATTGTTTACCTAATACATCTAATTTATTTTTTATTTTATTTTTTTACCTTTTTACTATAAACACAAGTGGTGCCTTGAATAAGTAAAGCAGCTTGAGCAAAATTAAGAGTTGTTGTTCCATCATTAAAAGTAATTGCAACACCTTCCAACTGAAATATTTTAAATAACCATGTGATTAATTTGTGTTATAAACTATATTGACATTACTAAGTTATAATATAGTCAAATCTTTTAATTTAAATGCCAAGTGAAATTTTAAAAATTTAGAATTAACAAAAATTTGATTTATCTATTTTTGAAAATTAAACTAGTTTTCTGTTTGCTAGATATGCCTGGTAGTTTTATAGATTTCTATAGCTTAATCTATTGCAATTATAAAGTATCTCTTATCTGATAGAGGGTATTCAGCCTAAAGATAGCTCCATTGGTAATGTAAATATATTGTATAAAGAGACAAAAGTCAGAAAGAGATGACTTTTGGAGAAACTAGTCAAAACTACTTCAATATCCATTACTACATCTGCTGTTAAAACTAACCTCTGTCCAACACATTTCTTATCTAAAATGGAATTTAATTCACAAAACTTTTTCAATAGCTGAAGTGCTCTATGCTTTCTTTTCTACTTTCTATGTAAAGGTTTGTCAACATTGAATATACAAAGTGGTCTTGAAATACTCTTTCACTAAAAATGTATGTTCTTCACATTATAATCATACTAGAAATTCCCCAACCAAGATGACAGACTACATTCTATGAGAAAGTAAAGATTGAAGAATTGAGAAGAGTAGATTTAAAGAAATTTAAAAAGAGTAGCTAATGTTTCTACAAACTAAGTAGCCCATACTGCCTGTCAAAGCATAGTTAATGCATGATAATACATTTTAAACAACAAGCTTATTAGATCATTATTTCAGATTGTATAATAGAATGTCATGTGGTCATTATAAAAAGCTTTTTTAAATTATTGTAGAGACAACACAATGCAACTATCTTTATTTAAAAGTTTAAATTTAATGAAGTTAATTTAAAATATGCCATTTGCAAAATATTTAAAAATGCAACTTAAGGGAAATTCTATCATCAAGCATGAACTAAATGAGGTCACTGATGTCACTGCAATCACCGATCCAAAATCAACAAAACATTTATTCTATTTCTAATATTTCCACAAAATAAATAGCCTATACTTTCCATCCAAACATAAAACAAATATAACCAACATTTCATCTGGATTGGACAAAAATTACATAAGTCATAAGGAATTCATACACACACACAATGACTTATATTATTAATGAATAATTCTACTTGAGCAGTAACTAAAACAATAAACACCTTTCCTGTAATCGGTCAATACTTTTGCTCATGTCACTTATATATTGCCAGCTAATTCCTAAAATTTTACAATTTGTTTAAACACACATTAACAGCCAGTAATTAGTGGTATGGAGCAGGCTACTTTTAAGCAAAACATCCTATATATATTATAAACTGGTAGTTACATGAATATATAATTTCCAATATATACTATATAATCACCTTTAACAAATCAGTATTGTTAATTTCTATATCTTTAAATAAAAAAATAATATTAACTCATTTTCATATAATTATAATTTGTTCATTAGTACATTTATTTATGCATCTCAATTAAAATAAAACATTACCTCGGCTAAATACTTTTCCAAATAGGCTGCAATATCTATTTCCCAATTCTTGGCAAGATCTCTAATAGGATTAAGTAAATATGCAAGCTTCTCATCAATATCATTTGTACTTTGAGAACTTGTTACTTTCATCATTGTTTCTTTTCTGAAAAAATAATTTAATTATCACATATTTTTACTGAAAATAAATTTTTAAATAGTTTAGTTGAGTTATATAATTTATTATGATTTTAAATATCAATTCAAACTTCTTGGAAGTACACTCTTTGACAAAAAAAAAAAAAAAAATTTGAAACATCAAGAAGAAACTATCCAATTAGAACAAAATTTTGTATGTTTACTATAAATGCACAGAAAAAGAAATTATTTCAATTTCAGAAAAGCTGGATGATTTATTTTAGAGAGAGCTACAATGTGAATGATACATGAGAAAGTCAATAAGACACTGATCTACCTCTTACCTGAATACAAGCATGGCATTGATTCATACAGATAATAGATAAAATATCCTAAAAGAATTTCTTCACAACTAGTATTCCACTGGCAGACTAAGTTGTTGACATTCCTGGATGGTCACAGGCGACACCCCATCAGGCCCCAAATGTGCTCAACTGGGGAAAGTTCTAGTGAACTGGCTGGACTAATGCCAATACATATCATGGCAAGAAAAACAGTTTGGAATTGGCTCTGCACTAATATTCGACTACATAGTTATATACAGGAAGACATTGAAAAACGTATTAAAAATAAAATGATTCCAAATAACTACTTGAAGATACCTGATATTATTAAAAAATATGAAATTGATAGAACTAGTAATGATATATGCCTCGAATTACACCCAGCAGACATACACAGCTATGAAATAAGTTTTGATTATAATCCCAAAACAAATAGATACTTTCAGTGGATAGTGTACACCAAGGGTCGCCAAACTTTTTTGATTACTGACCCCCTACAAGTTTTTGAAACCTCACATTGACCCCCACCAAAAAGTTGGTTACTAGCAAAACAAAATACTTACTATTTTAATACATTTCTTTTAATTTTGTATTCTAAACAACAACAATAAGACAATATATCAGGCCAGATTAAAACTTGCTAAACATTTTAGCATTATGCAAGCTGAACTATATGCCATGTACAAAGCAATCATCCAAATAAAAGATAACTTAAATAAATACAAAGGTAATATAAAATTCCTTATTGACAAATAAGGTGGTTCTTCATGTCTTGGCAAAAACTGAAAACATCACGCTACTGGGCAAAGAAGTTATTAAAGTAGCACAATATCTCAGTACTACCCACAATATCCAATTCAGTTGGATACCAGCTCATAAAGGACATAAAGGAAATGAACTGGCCAAAGAATTGGCCAGTTCATTTTCTTTTCATTTTCAGTTCAGTTCAAAATGGCTGGTACTCTCAAGACACAGGATACATATACCAGGTTACCAAAATCAACACTGAAAAATTCTTTAAATGAATGGGCACTAACTAAATGGCAGGAAGATTGGAATAATTCTACAACAGGGAGACATTGCCACCAGTTTATTCCCTCCATTACTAATTGCATCAAGGCTAATTACTACAAACCTAGATCCGAAACCACCCAATTTAACGGTTTAATGGGGCACGGCAATTTTATGGCCTACCTCCACCACTTTAAGAAGAGAAACACTAATAAATGCCAGTGAGACAATAATAGTGTAGGAGATGCCATACCTTTTATATTCCANAAGCAATCATCCAAATAAAAGATAACTTAAATAAATACAAAGGTAATATAAAATTCCTTATTGAAAAATAAGGTGGTTCTTCATGTCTTGGCAAAAACTGAAAACATCACGCTACTGGGCAAAGAAGTTATTAAAGTAGCACAATATCTCAGTACTACCCACAATATCCAATTCAGTTGGATACCAGCTCATAAAGGACATAAAGGAAATGAACTGGCCAAAGAATTGGCCAGTTCATTTTCTTTTCATTTTCAGTTCAGTTCAAAATGGCTGGTACTCTCAAGACACAGGATACATATACCAGGTTACCAAAATCAACACTGAAAAATTCTTTAAATGAATGGGCACTAACTAAATGGCAGGAAGATTGGAATAATTCTACAACAGGGAGACATTGCCACCAGTTTATTCCCTCCATTACTAATTGCATCAAGGCTAATTACTACAAACCTAGATCCGAAACCACCCAATTTAACGGTTTAATGGGGCACGGCAATTTTATGGCCTACCTCCACCACTTTAAGAAGAGAAACACTAATAAATGCCAGTGAGACAATAATAGTGTAGGAGATGCCATACCTTTTATATTCCATTGTGAACGATATGAAGATCAACGCATTCCATTTTATAGGGAATGCATTCAAGAAGGACATAATTGGCCACTGACACTACAAAACATTTTTGGTAAGAAAAATCTCTGGAAGTGTTTTGAATGGTTTATTGAAAGCACCAGGGCTCTTCTGCCAGACTTCTACAGGAAAGAAAAAATTCTTGAGAATGAAAACAAGAACAGACAAGATGACCAGGAAGACAGTGAAACAACGGAAAAGTGACGTTATCAGCGATTGTTTGATCGACCATGTAGAATTCTTCTGTATATAGTTTAGTTGTCTAGTATTAGTTTAGTTTTAGATTCTAGATTTAAAAAAAAAAAATGGTATTTCCATTAATATGTATTGGGTCCGCATGTATCATTATTTTTTTTTATTTACAAACGTTATTCTATGTATTGTACTGTAAATGGTTTGGCGAATTACAGTCTATTGTAAGCAATGTTTGATATGTTAACATGTCATATCCCAGTGAACCTGTTAAAAACATTAATCAACATATCTATGTTCTAGTTATTGTAATTAGAAAAGCATATTCATCCTCATGTCATTTATATATGTTCAGCATGTTAACTTATCAATTATCAGAGAACTTGTAAATAACTTAAATCACTTACCTTCTCTGCAAATAGAAATTGTAATCATTATTATTATATCATTGTAAGCTAATATTTACATTCTCTGCATATTAAAATTGTAATTAGTTTTTAATATTATTGTAACCTTGCAGTGATTAAGGTTGTTAACTACCTACCCACAAGTGATGGGTTTTGCATACTACTGTAACTAGACCTTTTCTTGTAATTGATAATACAGTAGAATCTCGAAAACTCAGCCTAATGTGGACCGAAGGGTGGCCGAGTTTGTGAAAATGCCGGGTTATCTGGAATGGGGTTAAAAAANTGTCAAGACTTTAAAATGTTGAGTAGAATTTCAATAAATTGGTAACTTGATAACCCAACTTAAGGCTTTCCAGCCCTGAAATTGAGTTGGAAAGCCCAAAATAACTATTAAATGAAACTTTTTACCATAAATCTCTAAAAGAAAGAAAAAAAAAAAAAAAGCAGAGTACTATACATGTTTAAAGAAATTGAAGAAATAAAAATTTTGGTGATGTTGATATTATAGCAAATATTATTATAACTTATCAAGTTATTCAGCTAACTTCTTCACATTCTAAAACAAATTTTTATTTAGCCAAATAAATTTTTATTTCATTCTGTATTTCAAATTAATGAAATTACTGTTAAGTTCGACATACAACTAAACAGAATTGTCACATACACGTATGTCAGGTGTGTTTTTGCAATCTTATCCTTTAAGAATGTGGTGTGAGATTTTCCCATCTAGAGAGGAGGAACTTGTGCATTCCTTTTTGTGTGGTGGGTCAGTGCTGAACTGTGTGTGTGTGTGGCTTGTAAGGAACCAGTGTTGTGCTTATTGATTGTCAGGGTTGCCCACTTGTGGAGGAAATAAATTTCTATTTTTTTTTTTGTTGTGTTATGAAGAATTTGTGTATTTTGTTTAGAATGTGTAAAAGGGAACATTTAAAACATTTATCAATTACCAAAACATATTATCCCAGCAAAAGAATTTTTGGGGACACCAAATAGCTACTTAATGGTGGTACCTGTAATGTAAATATTAAAACATATATAACTTATATATCAATATAGAAATAATAAAATGAAAAGAACAGTTGTTTCTACATAATTAACTTCTGAATAAAAAGAAATCACTTTTTCATGTTATTTTTATATACATGCAAAATAAATGACTAATTTTTTTATCATTTTTGGTTATTAATAATTTCTGATGCAGCGCTCTGAGGTCCTAAGAACTTTTTTCACCTTTACTTTTCCCCCTTTTCCTTTATACTTCTCCCTTCAGAACCTTTCCTTCAAGCTTTTCTTCACCTCTTTTTCTTCCTAGTGGGCTAAGTTTGCAAAAGCAGGCAGCCCCTCTTTCTTTATTAAAGTATTTGTGTATTAAAGTGAATGGCTGACCAAGAAAGGATATTGCACACAAAGACATTCATGTGAGAGGAATGCCAAGTGTGGCTTGGCATTGTCTTGTTGAAAAGTAAGCCTGGGGTGTTGTGAAAAAAAAAAAAACAAAAAACATTATTAGAACAGGTTTCAGAATATCATCAATGTATTACTGTGATGTGAGGGTACCATAGACTACCACCAAGAGGGTCCAGCTATCAAGCAAAATGGTGCTCCAGACCAAAAGTCCTTGTTGTTGGACAGAGTAGTATTTTTCAGTAAAAGTGGCATTCCAGTGATGGCTAGATTGTCTTCAAACAAGTCTGATTGGTTGTTGGGGCTCAGTTCAAAACAAGACTTGTCACTGAAGACAATTTGTTCTTAATCAGAACTGTTCCATATTGACTGGAACAGTTATGATTAGGTCTGGCACCAATGCAATCACTCTTGATGATAATTATGATCAGTGATGGCATAGTGGGTATCAAGAGCATAGATTCCACTTACATAGTCATCTATCAATGTTCCAATGTTCCTGGTGGTCACTTTGGCATTGGTTACACAATGGATTGCTCATAGCAATAATTCTGCTACCGTTATAGCTACTCAATCACTCATCTTCCCATTCTCTCATCACCCTAGGCTATCCACTATCTTCTTTTCCACTGGACTTTGCTATTCAAGAGCACTTTGTGCCAGTATCATCTAATTGTCACATCATTCTGATTCAAATGCTGATTGCTATGTCAATTTGTCCATCAACCATCCTACCCATCCTTTTTTAGTCCAATGACACATCCTCTTTAAACTCAGGTCATATGTTGTAGCAGATGTAAATTTGATGGTGAAGCATTGTGTGAAAGCCGAATTTATTGGAATAAATTGTTAAATATTTTTTTCTCGTAAGAGGAACAGTTTAGAGAAATAAACAACCACCCAACATTTAAAAAGAACATAAAACTTTTCTCCCACAAACTTAATTCCGTGTTGAGGATGATACATCAAATGTGTCACCCGGAATCTACGAAAAAACAAAAGAAAACCTCTATTGGTCAGTGGTGGAAAAACAGTCCTAATAAGGCAGTGGAAAAAACCCAACGATACCCCCTTTATAAAAGGGAGGGGTCGATGCGTAAGAGTCAGTCTCCAGAGGTTGGTGTGAACTGTGGATTACATACATGGATTAGCCACTACTATTCTAATCGCCGCCGTTCGAAAGAACTTTGCGCCATATCGTTCGGAAGAACTTTGTGTCATATCGAACCCAACTTTCAACGTTCGAAAGAACTTTGTGCCACATCGACTCGAAGACTAAACTAGTCGACAACTTAACGACTAACTTGACAACTTAAACGACTAGTCGACAACTTAAATCAAGGTATTTATCCTCGCGCGAAATACATGTGAGCTCTCTCTCACATGAATACGGGTAATTAGGAAGAAAATAGATATGTTAACTGAATCAATTGTACATAGCTTAAAGACAATAATAAACGGGCATTATGTATAGATTATGTAAAGTGTAATTCCTCTGATTCTCTCTTTACGCCTCCATCCCGGAACTAAAAGTCCACAAACGCGACTGTTCGCGTAACAAAAATTAATGGCCAATAAATTTCTTCTGTGTCTGTTACACGACACAGTGGTGTCATCCTGACAGGCTGCCAAAGAGGTGCCGACCCTGCGGTCACAATTGTAAACAAACAACAAAGATAACGTCAATCAAACTCTACTGGAGTTTGGTCCCTCAAAGAAAGAATCACTTATATATACGATCATAATGTGCACTTTCAATGTTCTGTAGCTGAGATTATTTATTCATTGGGTGTTAATTTTTTATAATTTCCATATTCAGTTGAAAGACTATGACATTTCACTATGATTAGATTATTTTTTGGAATGCATCAATTTTTTGTCAAAAAGTATATTATAATTGATTACATTCATTAATAATTTGATCATATATCAGTTTTCACTAGCTAATAATTTTCAAATCAATTCTAGTTTAAAGATTTTTTGTATTTAGTCTTTTTATAACTGTAAATTATGATTTAACAATTATTTAAAAACATTTTAATTCCACCAAAACATAAAAATAAATATAAATTTACAGATATATTTTGCTGCTTTGTCAAGACTTTAAAATGTTGAGTAGAATTTCAATAAATTGGTAACTTGATAACCCAACTTAAGGCTTTCCAGCCCTGAAATTGAGTTGGAAAGCCCAAAATAACTATTAAATGAAACTTTTTACCATAAATCTCTAAAAGAAAGAAAAAAAAAAAAAAAGCAGAGTACTATACATGTTTAAAGAAATTGAAGAAATAAAAATTTTGGTGATGTTGATATTATAGCAAATATTATTATAACTTATCAAGTTATTCAGCTAACTTCTTCACATTCTAAAACAAATTTTTATTTAGCCAAATAAATTTTTATTTCATTCTGTATTTCAAATTAATGAAATTACTGTTAAGTTCGACATACAACTAAACAGAATTGTCACATACACGTATGTCAGGTGTGTTTTTGCAATCTTATCCTTTAAGAATGTGGTGTGAGATTTTCCCATCTAGAGAGGAGGAACTTGTGCATTCCTTTTTGTGTGGTGGGTCAGTGCTGAACTGTGTGTGTGTGTGGCTTGTAAGGAACCAGTGTTGTGCTTATTGATTGTCAGGGTTGCCCACTTGTGGAGGAAATAAATTTCTATTTTTTTTTTTGTTGTGTTATGAAGAATTTGTGTATTTTGTTTAGAATGTGTAAAAGGGAACATTTAAAACATTTATCAATTACCAAAACATATTATCCCAGCAAAAGAATTTTTGGGGACACCAAATAGCTACTTAATGGTGGTACCTGTAATGTAAATATTAAAACATATATAACTTATATATCAATATAGAAATAATAAAATGAAAAGAACAGTTGTTTCTACATAATTAACTTCTGAATAAAAAGAAATCACTTTTTCATGTTATTTTTATATACATGCAAAATAAATGACTAATTTTTTTATCATATCATAAATGTTACAAGTAAGTTATATATCTATATTACATAATCTTGTTTTAATGCATATATCCACAAATTAACATAATTAAATGAAATTATAAAAAAAATGTTAATGCTGAATTTAATAAAGTTTATTTTTTAATATTAATATTTGCTGATTCTTAAGAGTGAATGCAGAAACCAATACAAGGAATAATGAAGTAATATTTTTACCTGCAAAAAGTTTAAATTTCTGATTTGAGAGAGAAGAAAAGATCAATTATTAAGTAATAAAATATTTAGACAGACTAATGTGTTTAATTAGTACATAATCATCTCAATATTTTCTGCATAAATCAAAGACAGTATTTACTATTTAATTATTTTTATATTCTATCATTATATGCAAGGTATAAGTAAAATGTATAATCAAACTTGACAGATGTATTCTAGGCACAAAAACAAAGAGGGGAAAATGCATTTGAACTCAATTCTGGAGTTCAAATGCATTTTCTTTCTTTTTTTTACTTTAATTTTTAGACTGAATTAATAATAAATAAAACACAATACCAAAACAAAATTTGGTTCTAATCATTTTTAAAATATGTGTTTGTGGGCCATTTAAGTTATTTTCCAGGCCAACTTTGATTACCAATACACTTCTATTATATTTTAATTGTTTTTGTTTATATTAATCTATTTTTAGCACTTTCATACCATTTTGTTTATTTGTTTGTTTAATTAACTTGCTAATTTTAATTTTCTTTGTGAGCACTCTCTTTGGAACACTTTTTGATTTTTAAATTATTTCCATTGCATTCGATATGCTTATGTTTGTTCATTTTTATTTAAATTAGTGTACTTCACTGAGGAAAGGCTATGATATTAGGTCAAAAACATTCCGATTTATTAAATTTCCTGCTGGAGTTACAAGGTGCTCTGTTTATTCTTTTTTATTCTCCAGTTAGATCTTATTTATTTAAAAGCTGCAAAATAATACTGGTGTATTTTTTAAAAGATTTTTGAAGATATTTTTAAATCTTATTATTAATGTAATATATAAAATTATGAAATTTTAGGTGAGATTTCATTGTGGTTCATTTCTGGTCTTCACACCACAGTTTAAATAGCACTGCTTTAAAACTGTAATAAGATTCTATTTAAAAAGATTATGTTTAAAAAAGCAACAGCAAGACATTTATCTGTCTTATATACTTAAGTAGACACTTTTTAAACAGAACCTTACTACAAATTTAAGTTTTTTTCTCACAAATGAAATTTTCAGACTCATACTGACTAGACATTTATCCTTTGTTTTTATGCATAGAATACATCTGCCAATTTTGACTATACATTTTATGTAATTCTGACTACAGTAATGAAAAATGATTAAAATATAATTTACTATTATTTTACTAACAAAGAATTTGCTAAAACATAAAAAACAAATAAAAACATCAAGCTAGTTTATACTGCATTTGACAATCTATTTACTGAGATATCATAATAAATCTGTTCTGTTATAAACTAAATATGAAAAATTTCTATCTATACCAATTATTCAAACAAACAGTAAAAAATACTGTTTGTTTATGTAACATTAATTTCTACATTATTATCTTAATCACCTATATAAAATAATTATTTTACTGTAATCAATCCTTAAACAATGATAATTTTTCTATATATAAACAACAGAAATCTCTTTCAGTTAAAAATAAGATTTCTAAGTACAGAAATTTTAAAAAAGGAAAAAAAGGAAGTCCTGTTTGAGAAGCAATTACTTTTTATCAAATCTGAAACTATTAGATCGTTGAAAATAAAATGGTAGTGCTTTTTAAAATTTAAACTTTCTGGCCATGTAATTCAACTTTTTTCCATATGAACAGTGCTGTATGTTTGTAATTGGAAGAGCATACATATAATATAACTAGCAGATCCCGCCACGCAATTGTTGTGGCTCAAAATGTATCTATTATAAATGTATAACACTTCCCCCATGGGGGAAAATTTTTTGAAAAATTTTTTCTTAGTGTACATTTTCTTGACGTACCCTATTAAAACGCAATCAAAAATGCAAAAACCTGCATCTAAAATAGCATCATAGGAGCCAAGTTCTTCACGGTAAGCCTTAATCCTGTCTCTCTCCCCGCGGGGGGAATATCGAAAAATCCCTTCTTAGTGTACATTCTGTTGATGTACTCTATTAAAATGCAATCAAAAATGCAAAAAACCACATCTAAAATAGTATAAATAGAAGCAGAGTTTTTTACGGTAAGCCTTACGGGTAAAGAACTGTCCATCTCCCATGTTTAACGGAATACAGTGGTACGTCAGGTTACGACCGCCCCAGCATACGAAATTTTCAGGATACGACATGAAATTCGAACATATTTTTGCTCCACTATACAAACAAAAACTCACCATACGACGTTACATTAGTTCGCATTTTTCATTTGTTTTTCTTACTACAGTTATTTTTTTAAATGTATTACTTGGCTTTAATTTGAGTATGTTTTTCGCGTTGGAACGAATTATTTGGTTTTACATGTAATCGTATGGGAAAAGATGATCCNGGGTAGCATCATTTGGTCGGATGAAGCCCAATTCAAACTTAATGGAACTGTCAATAGGCACAATTGTGTTTACTGGTGTGAAGAAAATCCTCACATTACAATTGAAAAAGCTGTAAATTTGCCTGGTGTAAATGTGTGGTGCGGTTTGTCTTCAAGGGGACTCATTGGACCTTTTCGATTTGAAGGCACTGTAACTGGTATTAATTACCTAACAATGCTTGCTGATTCCATATTTCCTGCCATTCGTGCATTATACGATAATGATGATTTTTATTTTCAACAAGATGGTGCTCCGCCGCACTATCACAGGGACGTACGAGCTTACCTGGATCAAAATTTGCCGGGCCAGTGGATAGGACGCAGGGGGCCAATCGAGTTTCCACCACGCTCTCCAGACCTTACACCACTGGATTTCTTCTTGTGGGGCACAGTAAAAGATGAGGTGTACAAACGTAAACCACGTAACCTAGACATTCTTTGGAATGAGATTCAAGCAGTGTGTAGAGAAATCTCATTGGACGTTTTGATACGATGTACAGAATCTGTGGTGACTCGTACTCAGAATTGTATTGATGCTGCAGGTCACCAATTTGAACAGTATTAACATTTGTTATTTATGTTTCATTTACATTGGACTTTCAGCTTTCTATTTTCCTGAAATTTAACTTTGTAGAACGGTAAATAAATTTTCTATGGAAGTTCAAAGTGTGTATACATTTTTTTGAAGCACCCTGTATACAAACATTACCTCTTTATAATATTAGTATAGATATAATATGTGAATTTAAAAATGTAATCTATTTATATTGTGAGTTCCACATGTTTAAGAGTACATTTTCTGATGCCATGATAAAAAAAAAAGGAAATTGAATAATTTTCTTTTATGAGTATAAACAGGGATGTAATGCAGCCAAAGCACCCCTAAATACCAATAAAACTTTTGATAAAGGTTCTTCAAGCAGACCACCAAGCATTTGTTCAAAAAATTTCATTCCAGCAATACAATTTCAAAAATCTGAATTGAAGATCATTATCTGACTGTCAGGAAATTGCAAAAATGTTGAACATACTGGACATTAATCAACAATTTCTCAACATCTAAACATGTTAGGGAAAGTCAGGAAGCTCAACAAATGGGTACCACACAAACTCAGTGAATGAGATAAGGAGCATCATTTGTGGTTTGCAGTTCTTTAATTATTTGTCACAAAAATGAAAGTATTCAAATGAAATTCTTACCCATCCACCTTATTATCCATACTTTTAGCCAACAGACTATCATTTTTTTATACATTTAGATAGTTTTTTGGCAAGGAAAGTCTTCAAGAAAGAAGATGCAATAAAAAAGTACCTTTAATGACTTTTTGCTTCTCATTCTTGTGATTTCTATCAAATTGACATTAATGCATTTCTATTGCATTGCGAAAAGTGTATTAATGTTGGTGGAAACAATTTTGATTGAATATGTAAGTTTTAACTTAAATTAATAAATATTCAAAGTCATGTAAAAATTGACCATTTCATTTGCACCAACCTAATATTACAATCTGCTTTACCTGTATTACAGTAGAATACCACTTTTCCAAGGTAATATAGACCAATACTACCTCAGATAATCAAAAACTTTGATAAAATGGATGCCATGGCCATTTTGTTCAAATTAAATATTATGAATACAAAAGATTTATGTGGTAGCACTTTTAAATCTCTCTTTATATTATAGTGAATTTAATCAAATATTAAGAACAGCATTTTTAAATCATTTATTATACATCTAATAATGTATTAACAGTTTTAAAAATAAAAATGTATATTACAGTAGAACTGTGGAAACTCAACTCTTGATAACTCAATACTCTGTAAAACTAGTTGTGTCATTTAAAAGTATTGATATAAATAATTACATACTTATGAGTGCTACATGGACCTCTTTATTCCTAGATTTATTAAACTGTCACTGGACACAAGATCAGCCTTAGTCCAGTGATGGTGTAATAAGTGTAGGAATAAACAAGCCCACATAGCACTCACAAGTATAATAAAGACTAGACAAGAAGTGTATTATAATAAATAAACACATGCAATCTAATTTTTACTGCTATAAATATAATATCCAGTGGCGTACCTTAGTGGGGACGGCAAGGGCGGCCCGCCCCGGGCGGCACTTTTTAGGGGGCGGCAAAATTTCACAATAAATAATAATAATATCTTGTAAAAATTTGAAATATCCTAATCTATACTTGCATCGCGCCTACAATAGTGCTATCGTCCGGACAGTCCGGGAACAGACTCGCCGGGTGAACTAGTAGCTGTTTCATCCGAGGAATTCCTGCGAAACCTGGTGATTTTTTTTTTGCTTGTACGATTCATTCGCGTTCATATACACCACTAATATCCAATAGAAGTATTTTAAACAGATCACTGCACTACCACCGAATTTTCCATTGCTTGTTCTGTGACAAAACTGAATTTTGGTCTTTTAATTGAAATACCTATATAAGGGGGGCCAAAATTTTCCTCCGCCCCGGGCGGCTGACACCCACGGTACGCCACTGATAATATCTACACTATGATCAAATAAATTATCATTCTTAACTGGCTAATAACACTTGATAATATCAATTCCACTTGTTAACAAAGAATATAACATTTTTTCCAAAGTACCCCTACAAAATGCCATGACGCAAATGTTACTAACTCTAAAGTAGCCATCAAATAGCCAATATTTCTTTAATTAAAATTTTACTACAAATAGAAATATTCACTATTTGGTATGTAGTTAATACTTATATGCATTTGCACATGTAATACCTTCACAAAACTTCCACTATTTAGACTAGCATCTAGACCAGTGTTTCTCAAAGTGGGCGATAACGCCCCCTTGTGGGCGCTGGAGGCTTTCAGGGGGGCAGTAGAAGGATCAAAGAGAATTGGGGGGCGTTAAGGAAATATAGAGGGGCGACGGCAGACAAATTCTATATATAAAAATTTGACGGAATATATATAAAATGTTGATATTTTATATATTTTTTATTGAAGGTCACAACTTGAATATTTCTAACACATTGACTTTTATTTTAGCTCAGCGTTTCTCAAAGTAAGCAATAACGCCCCCTTCTGGCGCGATGAATAGATCTATGATAGAGGCAGGGTATTGAACGGTGACCAAAGGCAAAATTGGGGCTGATAAGAGGAAACATTGCGTTTAATGGTTTCCAGATGATGAGAACAATGTACAGTAAGGGCACAAAGTGTGAGATTCATATAAAAGTTTTCCTAAGAATATTTGCAATCCTTTTCTCACACAAGAGAAAATGGGTTAGGGGGCGTTGGGTATAACTTTATGGAACAAAGGGGGCGGTGGATCGAAAAAGTTTGAGAATCACTGATCTAGACTATGCCAAAAAAATGATCCCTTTCTCAGTCCACATTAAGTCAAGTTTGCAGAATTCTACTGTATTAAACTTGCATTTTTATACGAACGATTTATCTCAAATTGAACTTAAACGATAGAAGATAACAAAAACAAATCATATTGTAATATACGTTATCATTTTAAACTTTCTTTTACAAATTATAGTATATAGCGTATCCAGTTACAGGTTTGCTTCGAATAATGCAGAACCTTTAAAGACTCTACTATACTAATTAAATATAACTGATTAAAATAGAAAAGTTTTTCATTAATTTCATATAAGAAACAACATCTACACTAATAATTGCATTAATACTAATTGATTTTGAATGTTTTCAAGTGATTATATACTAAATAAATGGTAAAAGATAATTGTAATCCATACAGATATACAACTATATATAAATTATCAGTAAGAAATTACCTAAAAGAAACTTCTTCCAGATATACATTAATAGAAACAAATTATATTAAGAACTTTTGAATATAGAACACGTGCTTATTTGAAATAGACATTCTAAATATTTGAAAATGTTCATTTATTTTGATTCCAGTAAAATCGGTAAGACTATTTTATTTGTTTTTATATTGATGTAAATTATTGGAAAAGTGGCATGTTAAATACAGTGTTAGTAAACAATCCTATTGATTGTATACAGATGAAGTTTTTACATAATCTTCGAGTATTTGCACCGATATGTGAATAAGAAATTATACTGTACTCACCTTGAATGATCGTGAGCATTAGATTTCAATTTACGTAAAAATCAAAATATCAAACGAAATATTTCAAAAAGTTCAAGTTTGCGCCAACTGCCATTTTGACTGTAACGAACTGATCAATTCACATTACCGTTTACAATTCTTCATACTTAATGTTTACTAAATATAAATTTCTTACTTCTTAAATTAATTAATTCATTAATTAAAAGTTGATACATAAAATAATATAAATATATATCTACAATATAATTAATATCAATTTCACGCGGTCATTGGCTCCTTATTTCAAACGCTGTCACGTAATTGGGTGAATTTGAATTTGAATTTTTTTTTTTTTTTTTATACACGTTAACAAATACCTTTTACTTCCTCTATTCTTGTTATGTTTTTGTCGACAGAAATATAAAAAAACAATAATAATTTTTTTTATTTTAGTATGTAAAGAGATTTTATTATAAATAATTTAATACAGAAAATCTATATAAGTAACTTAGAAAATATTCTAAGATAATTTCTCATATATGTGATTTTCTTACTTATAACTCTAAACTACTTATACTCCGAACACAAAAATTTTATGGTCGTAGAAATTCTTTTTTTTACATAATAAATTTTTTAAAACTCTTTCCGCCCTATGCGTACTAAGAAAGCCTCTTTAAACAAGCCCATTATGGGTTTGGCTAGGCCCACAATGGGGGAGCCAGGTGGTGGAGGACGGAAGTCGACATATCCGGTCGGACTACCCCCCGAAAAATTCCTGGGGATTTTTCGACTCAGTCCGAATTCGATCCAGAAAGCTACCACCTTGACCGTTCTGCCATACGGCCGCTACATAATAACCTATAAAAAAATATTACTAAATTTGTTAATCATTTTAAAACAATTTATTCATTTTTAATCATTGATGATAATGGGAGATTTTAATGCTAAGATAGGCAATACAAAAAATGATGATAATCTACGGTGCAATATAGGATAATTTGGACTGGGCACCAGAAATGAGAGAGGAAATAGACTCCTTCAGTTTGCAATCGATAACAGTTTCTCAATACTAACACCATGTTCAAACATCATTATCGGCGTCTTTCTACTTGGACCTCCCCAACATGTGAATATAAAAACCGAATTGGTTACGTGTTAATAAGAACAAGATGGAGGTCATCAGTAAATAATGTCAGAGCAAGACCTGTAGCATTCTGCAACTCTGATCATAAGCTATTAAAAGCGTCAAAATTTCTGAAAGTGTTCTCCGATTTGTTCGTTAACCGATCATCCACTATATTTTGTACTTACCACGTGTCACAAAGCGTTACTCACTCATAGCGAATAGTTAAAAGATTTATCCGTAAAAAATGTAGACTTAATTATCCTGTCAAAATTAAAACATGTTTTTCACGTTTTAACTGGGCAATACGTTCTGCGATCGACCAAAAATGATATACAGGTAACCTCCGTATAACACAGCACTTCTATAGCACGGATTCACTCTAACACGGTTCGAGAATTGGGAAAATCCCCCGTATAACACGTTGCTTTTATAGCACGGGTTCACTCTAACATGGTTCGGGAATTGGGTAAAACCCTCGTACAACATAAAATGTAATAAAGGGCGCGTTCTTTTATACTTTTGTGTAACTCCGCGTGAGCATTCTAATTGTTTTCGTGGCTACTTTGAATGCTCTTTCAACAAATAATCCATTTAATGGTTAAATTCTACAATTTGGACCCTTCTTTCGCCTCTAAAAGCTCATTTTAGAATTATAGATTCCTCCACACAATACTATCGATAGTGCGGGCGCTGACCGCTATTAACGAACGCACCCACAAACTGTTACCAGTTGATGATGCTCATGCTGAGATCATCATATAGAATGAATAATCCTCTGGTAAAATATTTACTTAAATAATAAGTATTTTACCCATAAAAAATGAATAATAAATCCGATTTAAATAAGGATTTAACGAAATGTTTTTTAATTTTTGGAACCTAATTTCGCACTAGTTCTTTGTTTCGTATAACACGGATTCGCATAACACGGCAATTTTTTGGAACGTAACTCCCGTGTTATACGGGGGTTACCTGTACTGATCGATTCGTTGGCCACTCCTGATCTAGAAGTAATTATCAACATTTGATCAGCAATCCCTTGGAAGTAGAATTTGTTAATTTTTTTTTAATGCGTAATCAAAGAGGTTACAATCAGCCTTAAATGATTTTTAAAGCATCGATAAACTAAAAAAAAAACTTAATCGATTACAAAATTTGAAAATTATTTATAATGAATTATATTTCATAAAATTCTATCAAAGTTTGTTTTAATATTATATTAAGGAAAATATGATTTTATTTGCATATGAAAAATAAATATTTCAAACTAACAATAAATTATAATTTAACTATTTTTTAAAAAGTATTTTCTTATCAGAATTTAAAAATTTAATATGTATACCAGATAATGCCGGCAGGTGGTGCTATCCACTTAAGTTGTTTTGTAATGTAGTATATAATACAAACTTTTGAAGTCATCTTTGAATTAATTGTTCGTTTGAAATTATGATTGCGACAGTGCAAACAAAAAGATACTTTATAATAATTATGTGCAGCTAGGATAGTTTAAAGCGTAAATATTGGGTTTTTCCAAATGAGAAGGTTGAAGTTGGTACTGCTCAGGATGATGCAAGGAAAATGGGCTTACTTTTTCATCATTCTTATTGTAGCTTTAATAACAATTTTTGCTTTTTATACTCATATACGATCCGATATTGCACGTTTAGATGATGCTAGGAAGAAACTAGGTAATTCAGTTTGTTTATATAGTTGATCTTATTGAATAATTTTGCTTTTAATGTTGTCTCACTTAATTGGATCATTTCGATTACATTTACATGATTATTACATGATTATAAAGGTGACATAAGCAAGAAAAGATTTTTGAGAAAATAACACAAACCATTCATTATACATATACTATACTGTAGGAAATCGTCTTGTCATTCGATGTTCTTTATTGGAATCACAATATGACAATGAATAAAATAAATTTTCTGTATAAAGATTATTAACGATTATAATCAGTAGTGTAACTGGAAAGCTTCCCGAGAGTTTCAGACCTCCTTTATCTTTTTTAAATAACTAAATTAAGAAAATACAAATAAATACAGGTTAAAGATTTGAATGTGACAACTGCACTTATACACATGTATATACAGTATCTAAGACTTATGGCCCACCAATGGCCAAGCGGTACCATTCCCTGAGACACTGGGAGTTCAGTCGTGGGTTCACACCTCGCCAGGACAAGCTGGTCATGTGGAGTTTTCTGGGTTTTCTTCACATCTATCGCCTGAATAGGGGCCAGTTACCCATAAAAAGACCTCCCGGAAATCATTCTCCCCTAGGCAGATTGCCCAAGTGTTGCGTTGCTATAAATTAACTAAACAAACAAACAAACTTTTCATTTACAATGGTAATGGGTGTACAGTACCTTGGATATGGGCAGGAATCACATTGCCTGTCACAAAATTTGCAGTTTGTGGAAACTGTTCATCTAGTGATAGTAATGGCAAATAGTACAGAGCAATCTGAAAAAGAGTAACAAAAACACTTTCTAACCTGTTACTGGTGTGTTCTCCTTCTACAAAATCATAACCCACATAAGTAGCTCTTTACTAAGGTTTTTGAACCCCAACGACTGTTCTTCTTCAGGTATTTTGAATCTCTGATGGAATGCACCTCATAAACATCAAATTCGAAAATATGTATGTTTGAATGCGCACTTCCATTTACGTCTTTGTATGGCATGTGCAGTCAATTCCAATATGGCTATCATAAATTACTGTTTATAAGTGCCTGCCTCGCTACTGATAGCGTAATCTCTTCTTTATGATTGATGCATTGATTATCCCTAAGGTTAGCTAAGTATATGCTGGCTGCATCCAGCCACTTGATATGATGTATGTGCTGTGTGGTGCAGATAATTCTGGCTTTGTTAAATTCAGGTTCTATATTTGGATCAGATGCATAAATTGCCAGAGCTGTTGTGTTCCTTTGCTTCTGAACATCCACAGTATGTTCTTTCAGTCTAATCTCTAAGGATTGTTTGGTAGAGCCCACATACACAAGGTTTCTATCCCATCTGCAATCTATAATCAGTATGCTGTAGATCCCAGACAGCTTATCCCTATCTGGTTCATCTTTTCCGTTGGTTAGGATGTTAAATATCGAAGTGCATCTTCTGTAGGGCTCGCTCAGTAGAAGAGTGCTTATGTGCACTCTTAATTACGGCTTTAAATGGTGCAACTTAAGGGCATATACATACCAGTAGGGTCATGTGACTCACTACAATATAAGGTTGTGCCATTTAAAGCTCTAATTAAAAGAGCACACATGCGTTCTTCTACTGAGCGAGCCCTACAGTTGGAGCTAAGGCTTACACATCGAATAGCCTCTGAGCATGGATACTGCAAGCTCATATGCAAGTTAATACATGGATACCAAAAGCCAGCTCAAGACCTACTCCAAAGGGACGAATGACAAGCTATGGATAAAATCATTCCAGTTACTTATAATCCGTATATTAGAGGGCTATGTAAGCTAAACAATGGTGAGATATCTAAAAAGAACCACATAAGCATTGCCTACAGAAGATGCACTTCGATATTTAACATCCTAACCAACGGAAAAGATGAACCAGATAGGGATAAGCTGTCTGGGATCTACAGCATACTGATTATAGATTGCAGATGGGATAGAAACCTTGTGTATGTGGGCTCTACCAAACAATCCTTAGAGATTAGACTGAAAGAACATACTGTGGATGTTCAGAAGCAAAGGAACACAACAGCTCTGGCAATTTATGCATCTGATCCAAATATAGAACCTGAATTTAACAAAGCCAGAATTATCTGCACCACACAGCACATACATCATATCAAGTGGCTGGATGCAGCCAGCATATACTTAGCTAACCTTAGGGATAATCAATGCATCAATCATAAAGAAGAGATTACGCTATCAGTAGCGAGGCAGGCGCTTATAAACAGTAATTTATGATAGCCATATTGGAATTGACTGCACATGCCATACAAAGACGTAAATGGAAGTGCGCATTCAAACATACATATTTTCGAATTTGATGTTTTATGAGGTGCATTCCATCAGAGATTCAAAATATCTGAAGAAGAACTGTTGGTGGGTTCAAAAATGTTAGTAAAGAGCTACTTATGTGGGTTACGATTTTGTAGAAGGAGAACACACCGGTAACAGGTTAGGAAGAGCTTTTGTTAGTATTCTCCAGTGCTGAGATAAAGATCTGAAAAAGAGTATCAAAGAACATGTTATTGGTTTGGTTCGATACATTTTTACTGTCAATAAACAAAAATACAATTGCTTGAGAAACTTGGTCATAAAAACTCTTCATTTTTTTTATATTGTTGGTTGTCCTTTCATTTCTGGTTTCATTTATGGTTCTTTCATTTCAAAAGGTTGGTAGAAAAAGTAACCTGGAAAATGACTTTCTGTTTTGGCAAATAAAAAATGTGTTTGGTGATTGGATTGGCAGTTTCTATAAGAAGCCAGGGTGACTCCTTGGTACAGGAGTGAATTTAGGTTTGCACTTTTTAATTTGGTCCTCTCAATATCAGTTTTAGTTACGCTACTGATTATAGTAATAATTATATTCTATCTTGTGAACATATTGACTTCATTTAACTTTTGTCTTTTATTGTATAGGGGAGAGCAGGATAAAGTGGCCACTCTAAGCTAAAATGATTTTTTACTCATGTTTTCTAATTTGGACAAATGTCTCCGTAGATATAACAAACACAGAAATAAATAACACAAAATAAATTGTAGCTATGTGTCGATTCTGCACAATATGTCCGAACATGTAAGCTAAACAATAGTGTGGGGGGAGTGAGTAATCAAGAGTTGCGTGGCACTCAAACAAAAGACAAATCGACGAGATTTGAAAATCGCATAACTCTGGGTTCACATAAGTTGGGGTAGCATAAGTCGAGGTATTACTGTACACTAAAAACAACATAACACCCAAATTAAAGAAACAACTCAAAAACATTTTCAAGAAAATCAAAACACACACAAAACATGAACATCACATGAACACACACATTACAGAATACATCGATACGCTAAAACAGAAACTCACAGCCAAAGCACGTAGACTCAAATGATACAAAACATGTACACTATGAAAACAACAAAATAAATTATTCACAAACAATGAAAAACTTTTCTACAGACAAATCAGTACCAAAACAAACACTGATACACAGCACAGTGGCACACCAACAGAAGAAGAACTCACAACTTATTGGTCTTCTCTTTGGTCCAATGCTGTTACACACAATGCTGATGCAGGCTGGATCAAGGAGGAGAACAGAAACTTGCATAACATACCAAGTATGCCCTGTGCTGAAATAAACATACACGACATTCGCTACGCTGTTAACAGAACACACAACTGGAAGACACCTGGTGTAGACAACATTCACAATTTCTGGTACAAAAAGTTTACATCACTGCACCAGGAACTAGCTAAACATCTAACACACATCATCATCAATCCACAAGACATGCCAAAATTTCTTACTCAGGGCATCACCTACATGAAACCTAAAAACAACAAAACCACAGACCCCACACAATACAGACCAATTACATGTCTTCCAACACTCTACAAATTATTGACATCCTGTATCACAAACAAAATATACAAACATGTTGAGGAACATGACATTCTTATGGAACAACAAAAAGGTTGGCGTACAACTCACGGGATGCAAAGAACAGTTACTCAGATTCAGTCATTCTACGGCAAGCATACAAACAACACAGAAACATACACATGGCATATATAGACTACAGAAAAGCGTTCGACAGTGTTCCACACAGTTGGCTACTACATATTCTACACATGTACAAAATACATCCATCACTCATTGCGTTCTTCCAAAACACTATGTAGCACTGGAGAACAACACTACATCTTGGGGTTAGTAACATTTCCATACAAACGAACGAAATATTCATTAGGCAAAGACTTTTTCAAGGAGGATTCCTTGGGTCCTCTCTGGTTCTGCCTAGCCCTGAACCAATTATCCAACATGTTAAAACAACATGCATTATGGCTACAATATCAGACATGAAAAAAACAACACAGTTTACACTGTCACATCTCATGTACATGGATGACATAAAACTGTATGCATCCACACAGAAACAACTTCAACTCCTACAAATCACACATTCATACACCAAGGACATACAAATGGAGTTTGGCTTAGACAAATGCAAAAATCTTCACATAGAAAAAGGAATCCTGAAGAAAGAAGATTTTGCATTTGGAAATGGAGATGTTATTGAATCCATGGAAGAGGGTGAGGTCTACAAGTATTTAGGATTCCAACAGGCCAAACTAACAGAACATACACAAATAAAGCAAGGATTAATTAAAGAATACTAAATTAGGTTAAACACTATTCTCAGAACACAGTTAAATGCAAAACACACAGTTAAAGCAATAAACACATATGTTGTCCCAGTACTCTCATACTTTTTTTGAGTTATATATTGGACTCACATAGATCTTAGCAACTCCAAAGGAAAACAAGAACAACACTTACTAAGCATGAAGAGCATCATCCTAAATCTGCCACGGAAAGATTAATCCTTCCACGTAAAGATAGCGGACGTGGCCTGATTGACATTATAAACCTTCACTACAAACAAATACAGTCACTGTGAGAGTTTTTCTACAAGAAACAAGAAACAAGAAACATCACAGTTACATAAAGTAGTAACTCTAGCAGACTCAAATAACACACCATTAAACTTATACTGACATCATATGGACACAACACAACAAATAAAAAGCATAGACACCATCAAGCAATCATGGGCTCAAAAAGCACTCCATGGCAGGCATCCCTAAGACCTGGCCCAGGATTTTGTTGACAAAACTGCATCAAACAGCTGATTAGATCGGGGATGCCTCTTTGGGGAAACGAAAGGATGCATGATTGCCATACAGGATCAGGTCATAAATACTAAAAACTACAGAAAACACATACTCAAAGATACAACACTCACAAATGACACACGCAGAAAGTGTCGCATCGTGGCAGAAACTATACAACACCTTACTTCTGGTTGCAAGATCTTGGCATAGACAGATTATTTACACAGACATAATCAAGTAGCAAATATAATACACCAAGAGCTTGCAAAGAAACACAAATTGTTAGACATCCATGAACCATACTACAAATACATTCCACAGAAAGTATTGGAAAACAACACACACAAAGTGTACTATGACAGAGAGATAATTACAGATAAAACAATTTACCACAACAGACCAGACATCACACTTATTGACAAACAATAAAATCGCATACATTATAGACATATCCTTTCCAAACACTCACAATGTACAAAACACATTCAATGAAAAAATTAGCAAGTACCCAAAACTCACCCAGGAAATAAGGCATCTGTCGAAGATGGAAAGGGTGCTTATTGTAACTGTACAGGTGTGATACCACACACACTACACAAAAGCCTGGAAACATTACAATTGAATAGAAATACATACATCACACTACAGAAGGCCACTATATTGAATACATGCCATATTGTTAGGAAATTCCTGAATACAAACACTGACACACTTATTTAATTTTAGTTTTTGGTTGCTATGCCTAGACTCTGGTCCGGCATAATACACAGCCACCGGTGTGAACCGAGTATAACCCACTAAACCCAACATAATAATAATTTGATAAAACAAAATTTTTTTTTATACTGCTTTAAAAATAGTTACAGTAATTTAAATTAATTGATATACTAAAATTATTTGACAAATTGGATATTTGTAATTCAAACTAGAAAGTATAGTTTTTCTGTATTGCATAAAAGTAGATGATCAGATTGTCAGTGTTTCAGAAAATATCAGTTAATCTTTCTTAATCTGTCTTATTCTTGAAATAGTTATTAAATATAAGAATAGTAATTTAAAAAAAATATATTATTGTTGAATGATCCAAAGATCATTAAGGTATGAACTTTAGTACTTTATCATCAAACAGAAATGCATTTTTATTTGACTATCCACCACTGATATAATTATACAGTAAACTAAGTTAAAAATTATCTATTTATTATTTAGTCAGTCAATTTATGGTTTGATGTACTACCATTTTTTCGAATAATGTAAAAAAATTAAAATTACAAGCAAATTAACTGAATTATTCTGACTAAACTTTATTAAAAACACTTCAGGTAGAATGAAATAGCTATGATTTGTTTTCAGTCTTAAAAATAAGGCATTCTGCTTGAAATTTAAATTGTAATTTTTATCAATTATACTTATTTTATGAAAATATAATTTATTATAAATGAAATTTATAATTGATTAATTGTGTAATTGATATATGCTTCTGATTTTATCTATTAGCTGTATGATTGATGAAGACAGTCAATTCTTGCCTTTTTTTTTTTTTACGTTTTTGAATTTTGTCTGTTAAAATCTATACAGATCATTTCAAATATCTTGACCAAGCAATGCATTGTATTTGATTTGGAATCTGAAAGTTTTACAAAGTTCAAGATCCCTGTTTTGATAATGCACAATTACTGTCAAAGATTCATCAAATAATTTGTTTCCATTACTAAGTAAATAAACTGGTCCCTGCTACTCTGCAGTTTTACATCCCAGTCAAGATTTGTGAAATAAGCTGTAATTGTGTTTTAACTTATAAGTTTACTTTTTGCTCCTGTAAAAGATTACAATGTATTATCGCAAAAAGAAATTTTTAAGCAATATTTTTTTTTAGTTTGTTGATACATCAAGCAATTTCTTATCTTGTGGTATTGAAGAAATGGAAATTTTATTCTTTTATTGTAACTTATTTCCTTCAATTTCCTTATCTTTCCTTATCTTTATTTGTAAAAAATGAATAAAACTGTATTTTTTTTCCCCAGTGTCTTTAACATATTACATTATTTCTTATTTTATTATATTCCAAATAAAATAGTTTAAAATTTGGATTTTATTCCATAATTTAATGATATGAAGATGATTCAAAATATAATAAATTGTAATACATAATTATAAAGTTACATATCAAAAAATGTTATTTAATGTAAAATATATTATTTATTTTTCAATATTACATAAAATTCTGTTTTTGTTGAACTATATTTAGTATTTCAATAAAGGAACTAAATGCTTTCTAAATTTTTCATTGTATTTATTCATTTATATCTTACATATTTTATAGTTTAAATTTTATGATATTTTTGATATTTTATTGAATTAAAGTTTAAGATAAAAATTTATAGCCTTTAATCTGAAATATCAAAATAACAGCAATAGTAATAAATAATTAAATTTCTTAATTATTATTATTATTTATTTAATATTTTCAAAGCAGTTTGGTTCATTTTTAGGATACATTGTTGTTTAAAATTTATAGAAATTTAAACAATTATTGCTAGAAAACAGAGATTAGTAATCTTTCATATATCAAAAAAAGACAATGAAAGTTAAAATGGAAGATAAATTCTTATAAATGATGATTTTCTGATATATATAACTAGTTCTACATGACTTTTTAATTTTTGACATATTTGTGTTAGTAATCTTATATACTGTATTTTTAGTGTTTGTATGTATAAGATTAGACAAATCTCATACAGGCTAAAAATTGGTTTAAGAAGTCAGGTTTATTGAGATAAATTTTTTTTTTCTTTGTAATGAACACATTGTCATCAGATCCAATTAGTTTTTGAAAAAGAAGGATAAAAGAATTTTTATTCAAATTTTGTTATATCATCAGAGTGTTTCGAAAAATGCATTGAATAATTTAAAAAAATTAGTAAAGTAAAATAAAATTTTTAACCACGTCAACTTATGAATAATTTATAACAGATATAAATATTCATAGCTGGCTGTTAAATATCAGTTAAAGCAGATGTTTTCACTTTTATCTTTCATATATGAATGACCTTGTTTATTTACAAATAAATAATGTAGTCTTTTTCTATTATTACTTCATTCATAAATGTTTTTTTAAAAAAATTATTAATTATCCATATAATTTTGTTGATTTGTGGAATTCAATTCTCACTTAACAGTTTACTTAATTATACAAATTTTAAAATGGAAGTGTTTGAGATATAATAAATCATTTCAGAATTTAAAATACTGGAAATAAAAAATAAATAATACTACATGTAATTAAATAAAGTGCTATTTTGTTACTTTGCAAGTTTTTATATTTTTTAAGATTTAAATTGTTGTTTTGTATATAAATTTTTAAATTATATTTTAAATTTTTTACAGCTATTACTGTAGCAGAACTTCAGTTGCATAATGGAAAGGAACAAAATTCTAAAATAATAACAAATCCCATGATGTCAATGTTACAGGAAGATTATAGTGTTTCAAATTCCATGGAGAATGCAGTTATTATTTATAATCGTGTGCCAAAAACTGGAAGCACAAGTTTTATGGGGATTGCGTATGATCTTTGCAATCGTAATAAGTTTCATGTTCTTCATATAAATACCACCAAAAATTCTCATGTTCTTTCCCTTTCAGATCAGGTAATCTTTTAAATTAAAAAGAAGAAATTTTAAATATATATATAAAAAATTTATATATATATTTTTAAGACAAAGCAATTTATTATCATAGGCAAGAATTGTACAAAATATAACATCTTGGAGGTTAAAAAAGCCTGCTATATATCATGGACATATGGCATTTTTAGACTTTCAGAGGTAAGCAATGGGTCATTTATTATGAAATTTCTTAGATATTTTTGTAGTTTTTATTAAATTTATAAAAATTTTAATTTTTTTATATTTTAAATTTCAGATTTGGTATTAAAGAGCAACCAATTTATATAAATCTTATTAGAAAACCTTTAGATCGATTTATTTCTTATTACTATTTTCTACGCTATGGAGATAATTTCCGACCTCATGTTGTTCGAAGACGCCAAGGAAATAAAATGGTAAATATGGAATTAAAACTTAATCAAAATTAGCATTTATAATTTAAGTAGAAAATTCAAGAATAAAGCTATTTTTTAAGTTAAAGTTTTCTTTTCAGAATCTGTTATCCAATTTGCAATTTATATAAATTGGAATTACCTTTTTTATAATAATCAATTGTACAATGACAGTATTTATCATTTCACTTTATTCTTGTTTGAAATTACTGTTGAATTTTTGTTCAACTGCTGCAGTGATTTTCTAGTTTATTAATAATTNAAAAAAAAAAAAAAAAAAAAAAAAAAAAAAAAAAAAAAAAAAAAAAAAAAAAAAAAAAAAAAAAAAAAAAAAAAAAAAAAAAAAAAAAAAAAAAAAAAAAAAAAAAAAAAAAAAAAAAAAAAAAAAAAAAAAAAAAAAAAAAAAAAAAAAAAAAAAAAAAAAAAAAAAAAAAAAAAAAAAAAAAAAAAAAAAAAAAAAAAAAAAAAAAAAAAAAAAAAAAAAAAAAAAAAAAAAAAAAACTAGATGTATTATAATTAACTCAAAATATACCTTAACCCAGTAATAGAAAACAAATTAACGAACTAACATTTTCAATTGTATTTAAAGAACATCACCAGGTTCTAATGATAGACAAGTTTAAAAATACAGATGATGGAACAATTCAAATCTTATTATATATTTCATGCTCAAGGGATGAATATACAAATTGGCTAATATTTAATGTAAAATTAAAAAGAAATACATAAAAATAGTTAAAATAAAATATCTAAAAAAAATTAACTTAAAAAAATACATATTTATATTTATTTTATATTAATTTATAAAAGAACGTTACATACATGAATAGACATAGAATAAAAAGAGATTAAAATTAATAAAAGTGTTATATTAACAAAGACATTAAATAAAACTAGACAACTTCAAACAAAGCTCTCCGTGCAGATGACAATGGCACTATGTTAATTGTGGTCCTTTTACAAATTGCTTTATAGATTTTGAATATTTCCAGATATTTTAGATGAGGAGTTGATATGTGATATATTAGATGTGCCCTATCAAAAAGACAACACAATGTCCTGGTCAAAGACAAAGGCTGCTAAGGTAGTTGTAGTCAGACATTTTTTGATTGAGTCCTGATGTTCTTTTATCCTGGTATGCAGAGATCTACATGTGGCATCAATATATTCAAAGGGAAGATATATTCTGTTGTCAAAGGTCAGTAAATGCCTGGAAGAGTAGTTTGATCAGGATCTTTGTCATTTCTGAGCAAGGAAAATACATTCAGGCTCCTTTTATAAGCAATTTGTAAGTTGGAGCATTGGACCTCAATCAAAAAATGCCTGACTACAACTATTAATGCATAATTATTTATTAAACTATATTTAATTATGTCTCTGTTTTAATTTTAGACATTTGATGAATGTGTGGAAAAACAAGAGAAAGAGTGCAATCCTGAAAATTTATGGCTCCAAATTCCATTTTTCTGTGGCCATGCATCAGAATGTTGGTATGATGATATCATTTTCATTAATTATATATAATATTAAATGAAATTTTAAATTTTATGAAACATCAATTTCTATTATTGAAAGGCTTCCAGGTAGTGAATGGGCTTTGTCTCAAGCCAAACAGAATTTGATTGAACATTATTTATTAGTTGGAGTAACAGAAGAAATTCAAGATTTTATTTCTCTTCTTGAAGTAACACTTCCTAGATTTTTTAAAGGTGCTACAACACTTTATAATGAAGGTACTTAAAATTAATATTTATATCACTGTGTATGATGGTTATTTCAGTATATATTTTCTGAAATTATATTAAACAATTTCATTTAATCTAGCTTAAAATATATCTTATAACTTAAAAAAATTTATATTTATTCTGCTTAACCTATCAAATTTTTTTGCTTAGGTAAAAAATCTCATTTGAGAAAAACTTTTAATAAAATGGATCCATTACCTGAAACTGTAACAAAGATTCAACAAACAAAAATTTGGCAAATGGAAAATGACTTTTATGATTTTGCTCTTCAACAATTCCATTTTATTAGAAAAAGGACATTAACAATAAAAAATGGGGTTGTGAGTGATAAAGGGCAGCAGTTTATGTATGAAAAAGTTCGACCCAGGTGATTTTTGTTATGTTTGTATTTTTTACAAGAATTTAATAATCAACTTAAAGCACTTTAAGAAAAAATAATGGAGTATATAAATATATACAGATTTAGCACAAAAATTATATGATGTTTCTCATTAAAAATTAAAAAGTTTATACAAATTATCAAAAATATTATAATGTTTATCTTCCTTTTACATGTAATAGCTGTGATGATTTTTTTTTTAAATTTATTTCTTTCGTATAAGGGAAATTTTTGCCATCTAAAAGTAGAACTTGATATTCTGGTTAGAGTATTACTGTTCTAGAAAATATCTAGAGTATGAATGATTATAAATCTTTATCAGTCATTTTAACAAATAAATGGCCAGTAATAATTTTTTAAATTTCTTTTTACTTATTTTTGGTAAATAAGTTATAAATTGTTTATCCATTACAGTTTTCAGGTAGAATTCATTTAACAAGAAAATAAGTTAAACTATTGCATTTATACAAAATTCTATAAAAATCAAACAAAGTGTGTTTTTTATCAGCTGACTTGTATGATTACTGAACATTGATATTGTGTATTATTTTAATTATGTTAGATTCAACAGAGCCAGAATGATTTTATGATGATTTATCAGATTCCAATATAAATTTGACAAATCATCATGAATTTGAAAAGCATCATGATATAGGATACAACAAAACTCAAGTTTTGTTGATTAACTACTGCAACATATTCTATGTTGTTGTAATTAATCAACAAAAGTATACAGTAGTAATTAATCAACTAAAACTTGTTATAAGAATGCAATAGTTATTCATAGATTTGACTAATATACAAGAAATGTAGGTTATAATGAGACTAACCTGAAATGAAAGTAAAAGCTTGTAATGTAACAATAAACTTAGTATACTTTATTAACATTTTTTTTATTCATAATAGTACATTCCATAAATGATTTTATCCATACTTTTTACAAAATATATGGAATAATAAAAGAAAACTAGTTAAACAGAAATTTGGAAAATTTTTCTTTAAATAGATTTATATTTGAATGCAAGAATTTCACTTTTGTACTAAATGGTACTATCTGAAAATCTTGTAATGAAAAGATAAAAATATTTTATTAAGTAACAATGCATATAATGTTTTAATAAATTAAAATTTATTTTTATGTGCTTGTTTTAAGCTATTATATTTTTTGTAAATGGAAGATATACAATTATATTATGTAATAATAAATTTCCTATTGTAATTAAAAAACTTAGTAATAGCAATGTAGAGATAAAAAAAAATTTGGGGCCGAATAATATGCATAAAATTTGAAATTCATTTATGAATTTTTCTGACTGCACAACATTTTGATATTTTCTATTATAAAGAGATTGTATAAGTAATAAGAATTTTACAAAAGAAAAGTTATTAAAATATATGACTTGATTAATACATAAAATGTACAGTATATATACAATTTATTCAAATATATATATATGTAAATATATTAATAGTGTATTTGTTTTTATTGTATTAAATTGGTCGACAATTTTGTTACAAGTCTTTTAATGGAATATTTACTTAATTATATATTGCAAAAGAAATATTATTTATATATTATATTTTAATAAAATGAATTATATGAGTAGAAAATTCAGTTACATAAAGTTTTATTAATATGATGTTTCATCTGTTTCAATTATGGGTGGTAATTGCAAAACAGAGTTACAAGGCATACAAGAATAATTGCTATCTTCTTGCTCTCTGGAATGAATTAAAAATTAATCAAAACTTTTAAATAATTAAAATAAGATGATATACAGTATAAAACTAACGTGTTAAAATGGGAAGATTTCTTTTTTAACCATATCTTCACTTTTAATTTTTTCAATTGATTTCTTAATTCATCATTTTCTTGTTTTTCTTTCTCATATTTTATATATAAATGATCCCTTTCAACACTTAATGACTATAATCAAATAAATCATTTAATTACAATAATTAAAACAGTTTTAAGATTATGTATGTATTGTTAAAATTATAAGTTGAATAACAATTAGTTGTGTAATAAATTCTAATTCGGAATTGATTCACTGAAAAATTTAAGAATGAATTATTCTCAATTCTTACAAATTTTTTAATCTCAAGTTCTGTAAAATGTTGTTATTGCAAAATAAATCAACTTACATTGAATTATAAACTATTATTATTTAATTTATATATGCAGCTAAAGCAGACAATTGAAAAAAAAAAAAAAAATTATAAAGAAATGCCTAACCTTTATCTCATCAGATTTTTGTTTGAGTAAAATTTGATTTTCTTCTAATTTTTGTTTTAATTCTGTCAAATCAAATTGTCTTAAAGCAAATGTTTTCATTTCTTGAAACAGTCGATTTTTCTCCTTAATGTTTACATTATAATTTGTGATTTCATTGTTTTTGGATACCAGTTGTTGCATTAGTGTTTGGTTCATTTTGATAAGTGCATAATTTTCAGGGTCATTATCCTGTTTATAAAATTATGATTAAAAAACAAAAAAGTATGTTAGACTTAAAATAAACCAGTACAAATTAATCTAAAAATAAAATAACAATATAAGTTAAATTAAAATGATCTAGCATCAGAAATTACATTTAAGATGTAAAATGACATTTTCTTAAAAGTTTTTTAATGAAGATATTTCAATAAATCACTAGTTCTCAGACTGTTAAACCAGAGGTTCTCAAACTATGGTCTCTGACCACATGATGGTCTAGAACAAAGGTTGCCAAACTTTTTTGATCATCAACCCCCTACANATTGCATGCTCAAGGGATGAATATACAAATTGGCTAATATTTAATGTAAAATTAAAAAGAAATACATAAAAATAGTTAAAATAAAATATCTAAAAAAAATTAACTTAAAAAAATACATATTTATATTTATTTTATATTAATTTATAAAAGAACGTTACATACATGAATAGACATAGAATAAAAAGAGATTAAAATTAATAAAAGTGTTATATTAACAAAGACATTAAATAAAACTAGACAACTTCAAACAAAGCTCTCCGTGCAGATGACAATGGCACTATGTTAATTGTGGTCCTTTTACAAATTGCTTTATAGATTTTGAATATTTCCAGATATTTTAGATGAGGAGTTGATATGTGATATATTAGATGTGCCCTATCAAAAAGACAACACAATGTCCTGGTCAAAGACAAAGGCTGCTAAGGTAGTTGTAGTCAGACATTTTTTGATTGAGTCCTGATGTTCTTTTATCCTGGTATGCAGAGATCTACATGTGGCATCAATATATTCAAAGGGAAGATATATTCTGTTGTCAAAGGTCAGTAAATGCCTGGAAGAGTAGTTTGATCAGGATCTTTGTCATTTCTGAGCAAGGAAAATACATTCAGGCTCCTTTTATAAGCAATTTGTAAGTTGGAGCATTGGACCTCAATCAAAAAATGCCTGACTACAACTATTAATGCATAATTATTTATTAAACTATATTTAATTATGTCTCTGTTTTAATTTTAGACATTTGATGAATGTGTGGAAAAACAAGAGAAAGAGTGCAATCCTGAAAATTTATGGCTCCAAATTCCATTTTTCTGTGGCCATGCATCAGAATGTTGGTATGATGATATCATTTTCATTAATTATATATAATATTAAATGAAATTTTAAATTTTATGAAACATCAATTTCTATTATTGAAAGGCTTCCAGGTAGTGAATGGGCTTTGTCTCAAGCCAAACAGAATTTGATTGAACATTATTTATTAGTTGGAGTAACAGAAGAAATTCAAGATTTTATTTCTCTTCTTGAAGTAACACTTCCTAGATTTTTTAAAGGTGCTACAACACTTTATAATGAAGGTACTTAAAATTAATATTTATATCACTGTGTATGATGGTTATTTCAGTATATATTTTCTGAAATTATATTAAACAATTTCATTTAATCTAGCTTAAAATATATCTTATAACTTAAAAAAATTTATATTTATTCTGCTTAACCTATCAAATTTTTTTGCTTAGGTAAAAAATCTCATTTGAGAAAAACTTTTAATAAAATGGATCCATTACCTGAAACTGTAACAAAGATTCAACAAACAAAAATTTGGCAAATGGAAAATGACTTTTATGATTTTGCTCTTCAACAATTCCATTTTATTAGAAAAAGGACATTAACAATAAAAAATGGGGTTGTGAGTGATAAAGGGCAGCAGTTTATGTATGAAAAAGTTCGACCCAGGTGATTTTTGTTATGTTTGTATTTTTTACAAGAATTTAATAATCAACTTAAAGCACTTTAAGAAAAAATAATGGAGTATATAAATATATACAGATTTAGCACAAAAATTATATGATGTTTCTCATTAAAAATTAAAAAGTTTATACAAATTATCAAAAATATTATAATGTTTATCTTCCTTTTACATGTAATAGCTGTGATGATTTTTTTTTTAATTTATTTCTTTCGTATAAGAGAAATTTTTGCCATCTAAAAGTAGAACTTGATATATTAGCTGGTTAGAGTATTACTGTTCTAGAAAATATCTAGAGTATGAATGATTATAAATCTTTATCAGTCATTTTAACAAATAAATGGCCAGTAATAATTTTTTAAATTTCTTTTTACTTATTTTTGGTAAATAAGTTATAAATTGTTTATCCATTACAGTTTTCAGGTAGAATTCATTTAACAAGAAAATAAGTTAAACTATTGCATTTATACAAAATTCTATAAAAATCAAACAAAGTGTGTTTTTTATCAGCTGACTTGTATGATTACTGAACATTGATATTGTGTATTATTTTAATTATGTTAGATTCAACAGAGCCAGAATGATTTTATGATGATTTATCAGATTCCAATATAAATTTGACAAATCATCATGAATTTGAAAAGCATAATGATATAGGATACAACAAAACTCAAGTTTTGTTGATTAACTACTGCAACATAATCTATGTTGTTGTAATTAATCAACAAAAGTATACAGTAGTAATTAATCAACTAAAACTTGTTATAAGAATGCAATAGTTATTCATAGATTTGACTAATATACAAGAAATGTAGGTTATAATGAGACTAACCTGAAATGAAAGTAAAAGCTTGTAATGTAACAATAAACTTAGTATACTTTATTAACATTTTTTTTATTCATAATAGTACATTCCATAAATGATTTTATCCATACTTTTTACAAAATATATGGAATAATAAAAGAAAACTAGTTAAACAGAAATTTGGAAAATTTTTCTTTAAATAGATTTATATTTGAATGCAAGAATTTCACTTTTGTACTAAATGGTACTATCTGAAAATCTTGTAATGAAAAGATAAAAATATTTTATTAAGTAACAATGCATATAATGTTTTAATAAATTAAAATTTATTTTTATGTGCTTGTTTTAAGCTATTATATTTTTTGTAANCGAACTTCGAAGCAAACAGGAAGTTGTTATTTCAATTCAAAAATTTTCTTTCGATGACCGACACGATTCTATTGTTAAAGTATGATGTACAGGGGTAAGTCGCTACTAATTTGAGGTGAACATATATTTTAAATTAAATAAATTAAAAATATGGTAAAAAAAATTGCAGACCGGCATTGTGATCGGGGTCTCCTGCCCTAAAGATGTCCATATCTGGTCTTTCCTTAATATCGAGAACTGAGTTAGAAAGACGGACGGACGACAGTGGGATTTATACGTCTACAATTTTTTTAAAATTGCAGCCTAATCAGTATAATAAGCCCTATTAATAGATTATAGTCATAATAGACTAATCTATGTATATAATTGAGATGGGTTGATGATAATAAGCGCAGAGCCCAAACGGTTAGGAGTTGAAGGTTGAAATTTGGTACACAGTTAGGGTATGTCATGAGAACGTACACTAAAAAGGGATTTTTCAAAATTCTCTCCCGCGGGGGAGGAGGGACAGGATTAAGGCTTCCCTGAAGAACTCGGCTTCTATTATACTATTTTAGATGCGGTTTTTTTTCGTTTTTGATTGCGTTTTAATAGGGTACGTCAAGAGAATGTACTGTACACTAAGAAGGGATTTTTCGAAATTCCCCCGAGGGGAAAGTTTTAACAATGAAAGTGTTAAGAGAAAGCCATGTGCATGATTTATAGCGCAGATGAGGTTTTTGCGTTTTTAAGGGGAAATTTCTAATTAGTCTGGAAACAGGAGGACCTAATTCTTGTATTCTGTGAAAACGGGTAGGATTGGCTAAAATGTAATAATATTAATCTTCGCTATCGTTACTTTTTGCCCGAGCAACGCCGGGCTTATCTGCTAGTATTAATAAAATTAACAGAAAATAATTAAATCATTTGTACATTTAACAAAAGGCAATGGACTCTGTGTAGCTTCAACTATCAGTTGGTATTACCAGTTTTTGGGCTGCAATTTGAAAAAATGATATAACCTATAATGATACCTCTGTGCAAGAGGTGTCATTACAGGTTGTCACTCACTACACGACGGATACCTTATTTTCTCCATAAGGCGTTTTATTCTGTAAACAAGTTCTGAATATTTACTAATTTTTTCGATGTTGCATTTTATTATATCTTACCTCCAAAATTCTCCATTTATGAATATTAGTGGGATTTTTCATATGTTCTTCTAAAAGCATGGCTTTTTTTTGTTGTTCAGAGAGTCTTGTGCTGACTGAAATCAGTTCATGCCTTAGTTCGGAAATATTTAAACATTTATTTCTCATTTTTTCGTTTCTCCTTAGGATATCAGTTAAGTTATCTTTCATTATTGATATTTTTTCTTTTTGATTATTATAATATTCTGTTTCTCTTTTTAATTCGAATGACTGGTTACTTAATTTTTCTTTCCAATTATTTATTTCCTTGTCCATTTGATCTAATTTCAATTCAACTATTTGCAATTGTCTCAAATTCTGCGTGAATAAAACACAATTTTATGCATGATTTATTGAAATAAAGGGTAAAAGCAATTTTTTAATGTAAATAATAATATATAATCAAATATTCACTTGTTCTCTTTCTTTTTTGATTTCGGTCAAATCATTCTTTTTACTATTTAATTCATTAAGAAGCTTGTTATATTTATTTTTAAAAGATGATAATTTTTGCTGTATTTTTTCAGTGCGGTCGGTTTGATCATTGACTTCTTTTTCTTTTAATTTTAATTCTGATTTTCTTTTCTTATATCGACCACTTTGGTGACCCCTGGTCTAGAAGCATGTGCTCAAGCTATGGTCTGTGGCCTGCAAGTATAAGTATATCTTAAATATTATATGATTGCTTCTATTATTTACCATCATTTTATAGAAAGGAAATTAAATGTGGAAAAATTAGGTAAAATATATTGTAATTTCAAAGTAAAGAACACTAATTTATGATGATTATTTTTGAGAAAAGTAATGTATTAAATACAGAAAAATTACAATAAAATTAGTTATTAAATGCTATAGATCACAGATTCTCAAACTTATTTCGACCACCGCCCACTTTGAGATTAAAAAAAATCTAGTTCCCCCATATTTTTTAACTTACACAATAGATGGTAATGTAAAAAGGTATCTTAAAAACAGTTATTGTAAATATAATGTTTAAACATGCATTATTATATGGATAGGATAGATAGGGTGTGACCCCATATCCTATTTCTGAGATCAAAGAATATTTCAATAAGAAATAAAACTCATATTTAATCACTGAGCCTTCTACTGCTCCCTGAAAGCCTCCAGTGCCCACAAGGGGGCATTATCACCCACTTTGAGAAAGGATGCTGTAGATAATCATATTATGTAATAATTGTTTTCTTGTCAAACTTGAAAATTTGAAGTTCTGGACTTAAAAGTTGTCATGAAATTTCTATACATGAAAGTCATAATTCAAAAATTAATCTTCATAAACAACTTATAGATGTTTGAGCATAAGACTTGTTTTCATTACCATCATTGCTTAGAAAATAGATTCTCATAGATATGTTTTATATATGTTTAAAAACTAGAATTCACATTTTTAAATAATTACTTTTGTTTACCAGTAAAAATTTCATTGTGGACTGGCACTAGTCTTCAGACCAACATTTGAGAAACTGCTATAAATTTATTCTTATAGCTTCTTGTCCTTTTTCTTTTTAAACTCCAAAGAGTTTAAAAAGAAAAAGGACAAGAAGCTATAAGAATAAATTCCAAGCTAGAAGCTATAAGAATAAATATAATTCTCCAAAGGAATTGAAAGTTAAAAGTGAAGNGCTGAATTTATTCTATTTATTTATATAATGTAAATTTTTTTACTATTTTAGACAATTTAAACAATCCTACATGTAACATATTCAATTATTGAGATCTGTGATGAAAGAGTTCGACTATCATCAGAAATTTCTGTCTATATTTACATTCAGACAGAAATTCGTGATTATAATCAATTTTTAATTAACGCTTGTAGTGCCAAATTATGTTAATTAATTATTGCCTAAAAATATCCCCATAGTTTCGGAAATTTTTTGGATATTTCTGAATATTCTGAGACCTCGTTACCTTATATAATTCTGATTGAAATGATTTGGTTTAGTGCCAATTTCAGAAGCGAAAAATGGTGGCGCTAAATCGGAGTTTGACCGAATTTATGTTATTCTCAAAGTATCGATACATATTTATTATAAGAAGGAAAAACATCTTTATCAAATTAATATTTATCTTGTTTTTAACTTTTTAAAGTTGATTTTCAAAATTCTCAGTTATCGGGTGTTACGATGTTAACTTGCTTTGATTCATTTATAACTCTTAATTAGCATTTCGGACTGCCTATGAATTACTTAATCCAGATTTAGGTGGGTGGGAGTGTTTATAAAAACGTTACGTGATGCCAGTGTCACAACCCTTGGGTTACAGAATGAATCATTTTTGTTTCTGAAATGTTGCATAGTAAAACCTTAATATTTATATCACTGATTTGTACGTTATACATACAATTAATAAAATAATGTAACGTGCGGTAGGTACTCCGTGTGTGTATTATTTCTTAGTATAATTGAGGGTTGATGAGGATGTGCGTTACGTAATTTTTAGAATAGATATGTGTAATGCGTTACTAGGGATAGAATGTATAAAAGTAGTGTTATGTAATTTATAGACGATTTATTTTTGTTAAAATGTAATGTAATTAATTTGCTTTTTTTACCTTTAATTCCGAGTAATTTCTTAAATACTGATTCTTTTCTATGCTTAATTGTTCCCATTGTTTTTTAAGTTTAGCAGTTTCTTTTTCTTGGTCTTCGATTTCTTTGATTAGTTCTTGATGCTTATATTCCATACTTTGAATTTGTCTAAATAATGTTTTAAGCTGTAAATATTATTAAAAAATTAGTTTGATGATAAATAAATTTTTTAAAACCCGAATAGCTTTCATTTATAAAATTGTTTTCAGTAATGTCAATTAATTCAAATTTTGTATCTGTTAGAACAATAACAATTGAATATTAATTAATTTTACTGAAAAAATTTTATTATTAATTTAAATTTTTAGATATTGGCCAAAGCGTTAAGAGATACAGTGCCTAATATAAGATTTATTTTATACAAAATATTTTTGTATGAAATTTCTCAATAATTGCATATTTGTATTAAGTGGTTTCAAATCGTGGAAAATATCTGACCCCGTTTGTTTTGTAATTAGATACAATAACCCTAATGGTTTTATTATATAACGAATTTGGTAATGTAATTTTAATGTTTATTCATGTTAATACCAGAAAATTTACTCTTAGTTTTAATTTTAATCTTAATATATAGTGTAATATTAATAGCAAATTACAAAATTTAACCACATAAATTACTTTGACAAGAATCCAAGCCCATTAGTGATCGAGTGGATGAAAACTGAACACTGGTAGTTGATACTGAGTTTGCGCCTTAGGTTGACTGGTTGACTGCATGGAGTGTTCCGGCTTTTCTTCGTGTTTACACCTGAATAGGGACCAGTTTTCCATAGAAAATCCTTTCGGGAGGCACCCCCCTAGGCTTTAGGACATATTCGTCAACTGAAACCGTTTTGGCAGGCTTTCTCTTTTCGCCGCAAGAAGAGAAAGAGAAAAAGAGTGTACGATATTCTCTAACTGATTGTATAATATTAGACTGTGTTAAACTGTAGAAGAAGTATTTATATTTAAGTTTATTACAATATCAAATTTATTTACATTTTAAAAGCTTTCCGAGGTAAACACGCAAATAAGTTTTTTTTTTTACTTGCCATTATTATTGTTATTTTATATACAGCGTTATGCGTTACAATCAATGTAATAATGCACTTCATAGGATTCAATATTCCACATTAAATGTAGAATACATAGAGTTGCCAGATACTTGGGGATAAAATCCGGGACAAAATGAGTTCTTCCTAAAAATTACTGGGACGTTTAATTTTAGGACATGCAATAAATTTTAACTCTGCTAGTTTCAGAAATACAGTACATTTAAAATGTGAAAAAAGAAAAAGACACTTCATTGTAGGAATGGAGTTTAGAATAAAGTCCTCATGTTGCTAGATGGCAATCTGAAAAAATACGGGACAATCCCGGAAAATCGAGACATCTGGCAACGCTAAGAATACATAACCTTTGATTACATTTTTTAATAGCCTAAAACAATTTTTATATACTGTAATAATACCTGCTGCCTACTCGACCAGTTCTTACAGAATAGCTTTAGTACTAGTATTTAATGTAGTAAATACGTAATTAGTACTAGTATTTAATGTAGTAAATACGTAATTATACCGTTAATGACTTTTTATTACTTAGCTATATCTAATGAGTTGAATATATTTAAAATGTTAAAAGAGAAAATATTCATTTTAATCTCTTAAGGAAAGTACTAGACATTTTTAGTACTAGTATTTAATGTAGTAAATACGTAATTATGATGTTAATAACTTTTTATTACTTAGCTATATCTAATGAGTTGAATATATGTAAAATGTTAAAAGAGAAAATATTCATTTTAATCTCTTAAGGAAAGAGGTTGTATATACTTAAGTAGTAATTACTGTATTTTCCTAATTCAACAGCTTTAAATTCCTTCTTGCTCACCAGTGGCCAAGTGGATAAAACTACTGAACACTGGTCGTGGGTTCCGCCTCGCCAACATGTTGGCATTGTGGAATTTTTCGGGTTTTCTTCACCTAAATAGGGGCCAGTTTCCCATAAAAAGTTCCCCCCGGGAGCATTTCCTCTCGGCAGATCGCCCACGTATCGACTTACCGTAAACAAATAAACCAAATCAAAATCCTTCTTTTTTAACAATAAGTATTAGTCTTTTTATATTAAGCTGTTCTGTTTACCTAGACTCAAATCACACAAACTTTTTTTTTCCAATTTAAAAACTAATAGTTGATCTACTGGTTAATTATTGGCACATATTAATTTGAAGTGTACTAATTCTAGATCTCTTAATTAAACTAACTTTAAATTTGCATCATCTTTACAATCACAGTTGTCAATTTTAATTTTGAAGTATTTTACTGCAATGTATATAAAACGACAATTGAATCTAACAAGAACTTGGAAAGGTAACAAACAAACAAACTTACTACTTTGTGTAGTAATATAAAACAGCTCGCTATTTGACAACGAAACAAACAAATACACACAAACATAAACGCACAAACAAACATGCGTAAGCTTTACAAAATAAAAAAAAATTATGCGAGCAATAAAATTTAGCCGAAAGTAAACAAATTGCTTAATTGGCACAAAATTTCAACTTATGGTTGCTTATTGGTGTGTTTACATTATCTACATAAGTCATATTATTGAAGAAAACTGTAAGTAAACATTATAGTTATTTAAAAATAAAAAAAATATATACAGGATGTTTATAATTAAAGTTCCACTTTGAAATGGCCATAAAATGAAAACTACTGGACAGAATGTTATCAAACTTGGTAATAGTGTACAAGACATCATAGGATTTTATTTTCCGCGAGAAAAAGAAAGTTCAAAAACTCACCACCAACGGGAAATAGCGCTGTCTGCAATATTGTTGAACGAAATACACGAAGAAGTCGTTGAAAATGTTTTTAATTGTTTCGAAAATATGTTACAAAGCATGTTTAATGTGGCGTCCACCATTTTCTGAAAGCAAGTTAAATTCCTCTTGATATGCTAAGAGCTATTGTTGAGAACACAGTAATGCGATTAACTTGCTTATAAAAAATGGTGGACACTACACTGAACATGCTCTGTAACGCATTTTGAAACCGATTAAAAACATTTTCAACGATATCTTCATGTATTTCGTTCAACAATATTGCAGACAGCGCTATTTCCCGTTGGTGGTGAGTTTTTGAACTTTTTTTTTCTCGCGGGAAATAAAATCCTATGTCTTGTACACTATTACCAAGTTTGATAACATTCTGTCCAGTAGTTTTCATTTTATGGCCATTTCAAAGTGGAACTTTAATTATAAACATCCTGTATATTTACAGTTTTAAGTTTAGATACTTAACGAATCCTTCCCTCTTGCAGTGAAAAGAGATACCGTTGCAGTTAAGAATTTGTCTCCTCTAGGTAGATCATACATGTATTGTGTTGTCTTAATGCCATCAATGCAATGCAATCTCTCATCACTTACATTTGCTCATTCTTAATTATCATAAATTAATACCTGTTTAACTAATGCGCAATTTTTTATATAAAAATCTGTTGTTTCTTTTTCATTTTTCTCTATTATTTTTTCTAATTTGTTATTTTCTTTTTTCACATCTTCAACATTTTTTGTAATTGCTTGAACTTTTCTTTTACTGATTTTAAGAAGATTTTCTTGTAACTCTTTTTCTACATATATTTTTTGCAATTCCTAATAAAAATAAAGAAGTTATATAAATTTTAAATATTATTTACTTGTTATTATATTTAAAAACATATAAAAACTATTATTCTAATTTTCATAAAATAATATTTAAAATATGATACTTACATCGTTTTCAATGGATTGCTGTTTTGTCATATCTTGTACGATGTTCTCGAGTTCAGCAGCTGTATGTTTCATATTTGAAATATCTAATTGAATAAAAATAAATTAATTTTCCTTATATACAGGGTTCCAATCACATTGTATATGTTAAAACAATAAAAAAATATTTTAATTTTCTTTCCTATTAACTAAAATGACAATTAAATTGACTCCTTGTAGACTTGTATTGATAATGATGACAAACTTGTGTAGACTTGACCATATGTTTGAAGTGACTAATTGTCACTCTATGGCTCTGATGGATCTAGGTTCAAGTTCAGATCGTATTTACAGAAATATTCATGAATGATCAACCTCTAGAAGTGATACATAATACCCTAATACATTTTCTCTCTTTACACGGTCTCTCTAATGTGACTCTGTGGTTCCTTCAGGGTGTAAAGAGTTCAGAAAAAAAGAAAACTCTGAAACTGAACAAATATATTACATATGAAATACGTATACATCCATTTTGTTTTCATTAAACACAATAGCCTCGTTATCATTTTTATGTTATCATTTTTATGGAGCATTCTATACAATTTTTTAATTTCTGATTTCAACCCTGTATTTATTACGTTACATATTTAAAAAATTATTATTGAAAATGTACTTTTCATATATTCGATGACAGTAATATTTGAATGTTCTTCATTTCTAATCAGTTGAAATTGAAACTTTAGATTGTTTCAATATCTATACGAAGAATCTTGCAAAAATTTGAAAATAGATGCAGTTTATACTAAGCATATACCTGATATATGAATTAAACATAAATGCAAAATTTATATATATATATATATTTTATTAAGCCATATGTATATTGTATATGCACTATACAGGGGGTCCAACAAGTCTGGAAACAGGAATTATGTTGAGTTTTGTTCATTATTTTACAGCTAAACCATGGCACTGAGTAAGGAGGAACGAATACCTTTCGTCCTTATTCACTGCCATGTTTTTCCTGTAAAAGAGCAAACAAAGATTAACATAACTCTTAAGCTTCCAGATTTATGAAACAAGATTGAAACTAATTAAATAAAATTGAAAGAGTATACAATAATGCAGCCCTGTAACAATATTCGTCCCTGCCAGGTGACATTTGCCTTCACTACGAGGTTTATGAAATGGCGTCATTCATATCAAACTGTACCAGAATCAAATAGCGAACTGTTGTGTGATTTTTAATAGCCGAAGGCAGCATTACACTACAAGTTATTGTGCATACATGCTGCGATGGATTACATGCGATGGATACATGCTATGGAGATTCATGCATGCCGCTGCAAAAAACTTGTAAATGGGTTCGAAAGTTGAAGAAAGGCTGAAGAAACGTAGATAATAAGATAAACGCATAGACGTTTGAACCCAAACTTTTTGTAGCAACATGCACGACTTTCCATATTGTGCTTACATCCTGTGATGAATCTTACTAGCTCTGATGCCTTCGGCTTAATGTTGGGTAAATTAGGCATTTAAAACAAGTTACTATTTTTTTTTTTAAAACTAGCTGCAAGATCCCGCTTCGCTGGGTTTTTATTGGTATGTAATAGTATAGTTTTTTATATATATATAAAAGACTGTTTTTCTAAGTAATCTAGAATCTAGCTGCAAGGACCCGCTTCGCTGGTCAAAAAGTAACGATAGTGAAGATTAAGATAATTACATTATAGCTAATCTTACCCGTTTTCACAAAATGCAAGAATTAGGTCCCCCGTTTCCAGACTAATTAGAGAATTTTTACGTTTAGTCAAACGAACAAATTTCAACGTTTCTGGAACGTTTTCAATCGTTCTATAATCGAACCAATTCGAATTTTATGTTCGAATTTAATTCGAACAAATTCGAAAAAATCGAACAAAACATTCGAAATAGAAAGCCACTTTCAACTACTTTTAGCCTCATATCTCCCGCACCCTTATAGCTATCGAGACGCAACCACCCCTATGCACGAATGGAGACTTGGGGCTACCACCACATACAAACACCATTCACGTGCGATGTGTAGTTTTGGC